ATCCGATAAAGATTAGTTGAGTTATGGGGTTTAGAACATCAGCTTTGGGGCATTTTTTGAATTTCTGCAATATCTTACATCAGAAAAATGACAAAAAAATTAAAAAATTTTTGAAAAAAAATAAATTTTAAAATTTGAATGCAGATCTTTAGAGGATTGCGCCAGAATCATTTAGAGGTATGCCACTTCAAAATCCGATAAAGATTAGTTGAGTTATGGGGTTTAGAACATCAGCTTTGGGGCATTTTTTGAATTTCTGCAATATCAGAAAAATATCATCAGAAAAAGACAAAAAAATTAAAAAATTTTTGAAAAAAAATAAATGTTAAAATTTGAATGCAGATCTTTAGAGGATTGCGCCAGAATCATTTAGAGGTATGCCACTTCAAAATCCGATAAAGATTAGTTGAGTTATGGGGTTTAGAACATCAGCTTTGGGGCATTTTTTGAATTTCTGCAATATCAGAAAAATATCATCAGAAAAAGACAAAAAAATTAAAAAATTTTTGAAAAAAAATAAATTTTAAAATTTGAATGCAGATCTTTAGAGAATTGCGCCAGAATCATTTAGAGGTATGCCACTTCAAAATCCGATAAAGATTAGTTGAGTTATGGGGTTTAGAACATCAGCTTTGGGGCATTTTTTGAATTTCTGCAATATCTTACATCAGAAAAATGACAAAAAAATTAAAAAAATTTTGAAAAAAAAAAAATTTTAAAATTTGAATGCAGATCTTTAGAGGATTGCGCCAGAATCATTTAGAGGTATGCCACTTCAAAATCCGATAAAGATTAGTTGAGTTATGGGGTTTAGAACATCAGCTTTGGGGCATTTTTTGAATTTCTGCAATATCTTACATCAGAAAAATGACAAAAAAATTAAAAAATTTTTGAAAAAAAATAAATTTTAAAATTTGAATGCAGATCTTTAGAGAATTGCGCCAGAATCATTTAGAGGTATGCCACTTCAAAATCCGATAAAGATTAGTTGCGTTATGGGGCTTAGAATATCAGCTTTGGGGCATTTTTGAATTTTGCAATATCTTACATCAGAAAAATGACAAAAAAATTAAAAAATTTTTGAAAAAAAATAAATGTTAAAATTTGAATGCAGATCTTTAGAGAATTGCGCCAGAATCATTTAGAGGTATGCCACTTCAAAATCCGATAAAGATTAGTTGCGTTATGGGGCTTAGAATATCAGCTTTGGGGCATTTTTGAATTTTGCAATATCTTACATCAGAAAAATGACAAAAAAATTAAAAAATTTTTGAAAAAAAATAAATTTTAAAATTTGAATGCAGATCTTTAGAGGATTGCGCCAGAATCATTTAGAGGTATGCCACTTCAAAATCCGATAAAGATTAGTTGAGTTATGGGGTTTAGAACATCAGCTTTGGGGCATTTTTTGAATTTCTGCAATATCAGAAAAATATCATCAGAAAAAGACAAAAAAATTAAAAAATTTTTGAAAAAAAATAAATGTTAAAATTTGAATGCAGATCTTTAGAGAATTGCGCCAGAATCATTTAGAGGTATGCCACTTCAAAATCCGATAAAGATTAGTTGCGTTATGGGGCTTAGAATATCAGCTTTGGGGCATTTTTGAATTTTGCAATATCTTACATCAGAAAAATGACAAAAAAATTAAAAAATTTTTGAAAAAAAATAAATGTTAAAATTTGAATGCAGATCTTTAGAGAATTGCGCCAGAATCATTTAGGGGTATGCCACTTCAAAATCCGATAAAGATAAGTTGAGTTATGGGGTTTAGAACATCAGCTTTGGGGCATTTTTTGAATTTCTGCAATATCAGAAAAATATCATCAGAAAAAGACAAAAAAATTAAAAAATTTTTGAAAAAAAATAAATTTTAAAATTTGAATGCAGATCTTTAGAGAATTGCGCCAGAATCATTTAGAGGTATGCCACTTCAAAATCCGATAAAGATTAGTTGCGTTATGGGGCTTAGAATATCAGCTTTGGGGCATTTTTGAATTTTGCAATATCTTACATCAGAAAAATGACAAAAAAATTAAAAAATTTTTGAAAAAAAATAAATGTTAAAATTTGAATGCAGATCTTTAGAGAATTGCGCCAGAATCATTTAGAGGTATGCCACTTCAAAATCCGATAAAGATTAGTTGCGTTATGGGGCTTAGAATATCAGCTTTGGGGCATTTTTGAATTTTGCAATATCTTACATCAGAAAAATGACAAAAAAATTAAAAAATTTTTGAAAAAAAATAAATGTTAAAATTTGAATGCAGATCTTTAGAGGATTGCGCCAGAATCATTTAGAGGTATGCCACTTCAAAATCCGATAAAGATTAGTTGAGTTATGGGGTTTAGAACATCAGCTTTGGGGCATTTTTTGAATTTCTGCAATATCAGAAAAATATCATCAGAAAAAGACAAAAAAATTAAAAAATTTTTGAAAAAAAATAAATGTTAAAATTTGAATGCAGATCTTTAGAGAATTGCGCCAGAATCATTTAGAGGTATGCCACTTCAAAATCCGATAAAGATTAGTTGCGTTATGGGGCTTAGAATATCAGCTTTGGGGCATTTTTAAATTTTGCAATATCTTACATCAGAAAAATGACAAAAAAATTAAAAAATTTTTGAAAAAAAATAAATGTTAAAATTTGAATGCAGATCTTTAGAGAATTGCGCCAGAATCATTTAGGGGTATGCCACTTCAAAATCCGATAAAGATAAGTTGAGTTATGGGGTTTAGAACATCAGCTTTGGGGCATTTTTTGAATTTCTGCAATATCAGAAAAATATCATCAGAAAAAGACAAAAAAATTAAAAAATTTTTGAAAAAAAATAAATGTTAAAATTTGAATGCAGATCTTTAGAGAATTGCGCCAGAATCATTTAGAGGTATGCCACTTCAAAATCCGATAAAGATTAGTTGCGTTATGGGGCTTAGAATATCAGCTTTGGGGCATTTTTGAATTTTGCAATATCTTACATCAGAAAAATGACAAAAAAATTAAAAAATTTTTGAAAAAAAATAAATGTTAAAATTTGAATGCAGATCTTTAGAGAATTGCGCCAGAATCATTTAGAGGTATGCCACTTCAAAATCCGATAAAGATTAGTTGCGTTATGGGGCTTAGAATATCAGCTTTGGGGCATTTTTGAATTTTGCAATATCTTACATCAGAAAAATGACAAAAAAATTAAAAAATTTTTGAAAAAAAATAAATTTTAAAATTTGAATGCAGATCTTTAGAGAATTGCGCCAGAATCATTTAGAGGTATGCCACTTCAAAATCCGATAAAGATTAGTTGAGTTATGGGGTTTAGAACATCAGCTTTGGGGCATTTTTTGAATTTCTGCAATATCTTACATCAGAAAAATGACAAAAAAATTAAAAAATTTTGAAAAAAAAAAATTTTTAAATTTGAATGCAGATCTTTAGAGGATTGCGCCAGAATCATTTAGAGGTATGCCACTTCAAAATCCGATAAAGATTAGTTGAGTTATGGGGTTTAGAACATCAGCTTTGGGGCATTTTTTGAATTTCTGCAATATCAGAAAAATATCATCATAAAAAGACAAAAAAATTAAAAAATTTTTGAAAAAAAATAAATGTTAAAATTTGAATGCAGATCTTTAGAGAATTGCGCCAGAATCATTTAGAGGTATGCCACTTCAAAATCCGATAAAGATTAGTTGCGTTATGGGGCTTAGAATATCAGCTTTGGGGCATTTTTGAATTTTGCAATATCTTACATCAGAAAAATGACAAAAAAATTGAAAAATTTTTGAAAAAAAATAAATTTTAAAATTTGAATGCAGATCTTTAGAGGATTGCGCAAGAATCATTTAGAGGTATGCCACTTCAAAATCCGATAAAGATTAGTTGAGTTATGGGGTTTAGAACATCAGCTTTGGGGCATTTTTTGAATTTCTGCAATATCAGAAAAATATCATCAGAAAAAGACAAAAAAATTAAAAAATTTTTGAAAAAAAATAAATTTTAAAATTTGAATGCAGATCTTTAGAGAATTGCGCCAGAATCATTTAGGGGTATGCCACTTCAAAATCCGATTAAGATAAGTTGAGTTATGAGATCGAGGTTCCTGAGATCGACGCGTTTATCCGGACGGACGGAGATGGCCATATCAACTCAACTATTGATCCTGATCAAGACTGTATATACGTTATGTGGTCAGAAACGCTTCCTTCTGCCTGATAAATACTTTTCAACGAATCTAGTATACCCGTTTACTCTACGAGCAACGGGTATAAATATGTTTAGTTACTGCTAACCAAAAGTATATGCCCCTAAACAAAAACTAGTGCAAGTGTACTTTCTATCACTATTGAAAATTTGTTCTTGTTTTTGTTTTTATTTATTAAGTTGATAAAAATGAAAGTGTGACAAAAACAACATTTCCCAACAGATATGATCACCTTAACCTAGGGCCACTAGATTTCCTATTCAGCCATGAGCAATGCTTGGAGATAAAGAGGCTTTCATTTGTATTATAAAAGGTATTTTATACGCTTGATACTTCTTGTTAATACTCCTGCTTATTTCTAATTTAGATTTTAAGCACTTTAAATATTAGAAAGCTGTCAGTTGGACGTTGACAACGTAGAGAGGTGACTTTTCCAAGGGCTTTGTTTTGCTAAAGCCGCCTGTAAAAAAAACACACATCGATTTCTGGGAGCAACAGTCCACCTGCGATTGTGCAGGTGCAGCATCGAGATATGGGAATGGCTATCTGGGGGATCTTCCAGTGCTGCCATTATCGGGTTAGCGGTATCGACACCACCCACCCGTGGAAGCCCTGTCCAATCTGGCTATCTCCCTTTGTGTGTCCACGCTGCATAGATAATGCCAAATTAGTTTCGGACTTAATTAAGGCATACATATCGGCTTACCAAAGTGTATGTGCGAATCGAACCTCCACGATCGCCACTCAACTGATATGGCTCCGGGCAATCTTCTATATAAACAAACCCCACGGATCGGTCGGCAAACATTCGCCAGCGAAGTAATCCACCAGCAACATGAAAGTGCTCAACATCTGCCTCCTGGTCGTGGCCTCCGCCAGCTTCCTCCTGGTCACCGCCAACGTAAGTCAGCCGGTTGCCGCAAATTCAGCCAAGTGTCAAAGTTAAAAGAAGTTTAAAAAAAGAGAAAAGTGCGAAGAGAAAACTCTTAAAAAAAGAATCACCGCTTTAGGCAGTTTATTTTTTTTATATTTTTTTTACAAAGTACGCATTGAAGAAGCCCGTCTTGTTCGCTAAATTTGCAAGTTGTTTTGTAAATTCTTGTGCTGCTAAAATGCAAATATTCCTTGATCTAAGGTGTTTTAAGAAAAACAATTTCCCACTTATTCCAGGCCAATGCCGTCGGTGCCTTCGAGGACTTCGAGGCCTACACCGATGCCGAGCTCGAGGAGCTCTCCGCCGCCGAGTTGATGGCTATGGAGGAGGAGTTCATGGGCGTCGAGCAGTTCGGCTTCATTAGGTCGTGCCGCAAGATTCTGGTCGCTGGATTCAAGGGCATCAACGGCACCAAGTGCATCGTCGAGGAGGTGGCCAATGTGCTGCTCACCTGCACCAACTACGTGGACGAGCTGGGCACCTGCACCGGCAACATTCCCAAGGACGTCCAGGCCATGCTGGACAATGCCAAGCAGATGATCATCACCAGCAACAAGATCATCAACCTGAAGTCCGAGCTGTGCGCCACCACCTCCAGGGGCGTCGTCTCCTCCACCAAGAGCTTCATGCGCTGCACCCTGAAGGCCTTCTATGCCACCATGTCCCTTGTCCGCCGCATGAACACGATGATCAAGCAGGGCGCCGCCCTGCCCTTCGACACCTCCTCCTGCTACGTGGATGCCACCAAGAAGGTGGTCGACGGCTGCAACGCCTTCGTGCCCAACATCAACACCTGCATCGCCAGCATGACCTAAGTGGTTCCCAAAACTGATAATAAAACAATGCATTTATGCGCAAAGCAGATGGCTTCTTCTCATTTGGGACTCGGACTCTTCCAAGCTCTCTGGCCTCCATAGTTTCTCAGATCCGGATACGGAGATACGGATGCACAGATACGGATTGATCATACAAATGTAGCACATATCTTCACCTGACCTCCTTGCCTGCAACCACGACTTTAGATAGCACTGCGATCTGCCAGTGTCATGATCCTCCTCTTCATCGGATCATGGTACAATGTGGAGTGCAAGGATGACCAGAAGGACGTAGTTTTAAATTATATATGTGTATTTATTGATTCGTTCGTTCGCTTTTTCATTCATAGATGTAGTATGTATGTGTGTATTCATGTAATTAAAAGTAGTATTGTTTGAGCCGCGTATATAAAAACAAATAACAATAAAAAAATGCTTATCCGATCAATTAAATTAATTCCAGTACTAAATAAATTCAAGTCGAGTCAAATAAGTCGAATAATAGAGAGTAAAAATGATAAAAATACAACACCGAAATAGAACTCAAGGACAGCAGCTAAGATTAGATATATACTTTTGATTCGCCTTGCGATACTGTACTGCCCACTAGGAATAACAATATTCGTTTTGCGCAAAAAAAAAACATGGAGTACAATTAGGTGTAAAAGTACGGGTTATGATAATGCATATAGTACAATGTAAGTAGCTAGACCTTAGGCTTAGGTATTATGGTTTATATTTAGGGTATCTCTCATTATAATTGCACATGCTTTAAGTTAGTCGAAAAAAAAAAACAAAAAAAAATGCACCGCTTGGGAGTCGATTGATAGAATGGATTTCGTTTTTGGGCTGTGTGGATGCTTCGGATATCAGATCAGGCTGAGCCGGCTGTTGGTCTTGCGCAGCTGGGCGCGCCATGGAATGATGTTGTCCTCCTCCTCCTCGGCGTGTCCCTGGCTGCCCTCCGGCGGTTCGAGGAGCTCCTGACCTCCGCCGGCGCCAGAGCTAGCGTTTCCGACGCCACCGCCACCGCCACCGCCCATGCCGTGCTCCTGCTCCTCATCAGCGCCCTTGGGTTCGCCATGGTTCTCCTTGTTGCCCAGCTGGAGGTGCTGCTGCTGCTGCTGCTGCTGCTGCTGGAACTGGATCTGCTGGTAGTGCTGCTCCATGCCGGCCAGATTGATGTTGATGTTGTCGATGGACATGGCGCGGTTCTTGAGCCGCCAGGTGTCCGCCACCCGGTTGTTCTCCTCCACCTTGGGCGTGTAGATGGCCGCCCTAGAAGAAGGTCAGACAATTGAGGCCAGGGGTCAGGAGACTCCCCACTAGCCACTACACCCACTTACTTCAGCTTGTTCTCCGTCTCCTCGCGTCGCGCCAGCAGATCCCGCTTCCACTGGGGAATCTGGGAGAGGCGGCGCGATTCTGCCTCCTGGGCCATACGCTCCTCGAAGTCCTTCTTGGCCCGCTCGGCCGCCTTCTTGGCCATCATCTGGCGCTTCCAGTCGGGTATGGCGTTGCCGGCCTGGTCCCGTTCCGGTATCTGCAAGTAGATCTTTGACCCGCCTCTTAGCCACCGTTCGATTCGGTTGCAGCTGGCAGTTGGCCAGCACTCACCTGGTCCACATAGTTGTTGCCCGAGAACTGCTTGGTGATCTCCATGTAGTGCTCCGAGTCCATCCGGCTGGCCATCTGCTGCTCCACCTTCATCTTCTTGATGCCCGGTATGTCCTTGGAGATCTTTAGCTCGGCAATCAGGTCCGACTTGAGATACGTTTCCGTGCTGGAGGTCAGGCACTGCATGCTCAGGCTGCGTGCTGGCATCTGGTAGGGCTTCGGCACCTTCTGTGTGTCCGTGCGGCGCAGCTGGCGGAGATTGGGTGGGGTGAAGGGTGAAGAGTAGTTAGTGATTGCCTTCGAGATACTATTACCTTTGCAGATCTGGCAATAATATTCGTGTGTAACTGCTCACCTGGACGCTGTTCAGATCCTGAATGGAGATGGCCGAGAGCGGCTGGTGCTGCTTCCTGGTGGCCGTGTCCTGGCTGTTGGGTGCCGAGCCGTGCGGCTTCTTGGGCTTCTGCGACTTGCCGGACATGGTGGCATCCTGGCCGCCTGCCACGCCCATGGGCGGACCCATCGGCGGCTGCGGGGGCAACATTCCGTGGGGCAGAGGCGGCGGTGGTGGCGGCAGCGGTGGCTGCTCGCCCATTCCGTGCAGCTGGTGGGGATGGTGCGGATGTGGATGTGGATGGGGGTGGTGCTGGTGCTGGTGCGGATGCTGCTGCGGGTGCTGCGAGTGGAGCTGCGAGTGGTGCACCTGCTGCTGCTGCTGGGCGATCTGTATCTGCATGTAGTCCTCCGTATCCGTGGAGCTGTTGGTGGAACCAATGGGAAAAGCGTTGGATTAGGGAGAGATCTTGGCGACTTTCACTGGACAATGGTAGTTGGCAGAGGGCAGATGGGTGATGGGTGATGGGTGGGCGCTGAGCGAACCTGCGCCAGGCGTGGCGTGTGCGCAGTATCATCTTCGGATTGCAACTGAGTTGCAGTGGCAGCTGCAACATCGCAGCTGCGGCAAGAAAAGTGGCAGGCCGCAAAGTGGCACGCATAAAATTTCATGCACTCTTGAGCGGCAGAGGAAGTGGCGAATCTCTCGGCAAAAGTGCTGCACAACTGGCTTCTGCTCGAGCCGAGCTTCGCTCTTCAATAATGAAAATCTAGCTATATTTTCTTTTGGAGTTTCCCGCTGAAAGTTGCCGCAGCACAGAGCTCCAGCCAACTGCTAGCTGCTAATTGCCAGCGGCAGCCAAGCGTCTTTGCAGCCATGTATCTTATTTTATATGTGCTTTTTTCGGATTTTGGCTAATTGAGGCGAGGCAACTGTACCGCCGATACTAATTATAAAAGCCGCTGCACGAGATGTTCAGCCAAATTAAATCAAATCGGCTGCCATGTGCTAATTGAAAGTCGGAGGATGGAGGATGGGGATAACCACTACTCACCGGGCGGAGGATGGACACGAACGCTTGTCGATGCTGATGCTCTTGAGATACTCGGACGGCTTGATGAGATGCGTGACGCCGTCTTGTGATTTATTGGGAAAACTGGGCGGCACAAAAGGCAGCACCAGCTGCTTGTTGACCAGATTGGGCCCGCCCGTCCGCTGTCCGCCGGCCAAGTGGGTTTCCCCGTAGATCTGCTGCTGCTGCTGGGTGAGCTCGTAGTGATCCTCGGCGGAGGAGCCGCCTCCGTACAGGCTGGGCGTGTACTGGTGCGGCTGGCCCGTCGCGTAGTGCGGCTGATTGGGATGGCTGGGATAGTTGCCGCCTCCATTGCCATTGCCATTGCCATTGCTCCTCTGGTTTTTGGGGCCCTCCGCGTAGCCATAGAAGTGGGCACTGGCCGCAGAACCATTGGCTGCAGCGTGGGCAGCTCCTCCGGCTCGGGACTGGGACTCCTCCGAACTGGCGGCAATGGAGCTACCATTCGTGGCGCTGGCACTGAGCAGCTTGGCTTTCTTGTTCGCTGGAATTGAACCAATTTATTTATGAGTTTGTGGGTTAGCAGTTATCAGCAGTCTGACTCTGGTCATGCTAGCTTGAGCAGCCAGCAAATAAACTACAGCTAACTACGAAACTATGAAACTACGAAAGGCGCAACCACAATGGATCGCTGCGTAGGCGCCTTTCACCAGACGGAGATTCGCGAGGAGACGGAGTTGGAGCTGCAACCCAGTTGCATATAAAAACACGAGCACTCGCACAAGTGAATCAAATAAATTACTTTTGGGTGGCAATGGGATGCAGCGCATCTGGGAATGCAAATAATTTCAAATTACAGCTCATTTGTGGAACTGTAGTAGTCATTCCATAATTATGCGTTGTATTATCTACTGATATATCTATTTATCTATTTTATTTCATCGTGTCAGCTGGCTTAACTCTAACTTCATATTTTAATTATTTTGGGCATACTTATGCGTGATAACGAAGCTGATTGGCGATGATAGCTAAATGGCATTCTTCGCAGTTACAGGCACATGTAATCGGGTATCTAGTGGATGGGCCGGACCAAGGAGCAGAGCAAAATGTCTGGCGATAAGGGCCAACTCGAGGGTGTTCGAGATAAGAAAAGTCTGCAGGAGATAAGCGAACGTGGCTAAAAGTCCACACCTGATTGGGTAGAACATGGTTTAGAGATTTAGAGATTGGGTTGCCGAAGCGAGTAAGCATAATTGTGGGAAAAACATTCGAGTGGCCCAGTCCAATGTCTTTCCTTATTGTTTCCCTGATCGAGCGCAAGTTTGGAGGAAAGCTCGCTGCGCTTCCTGGGAAATCTCATCAATAGCCGGATTAATATCCGCAGACACGGAAGAATGGGTTACCCGCCGACGTCTGCGTGGGAGCATACCCATCAAAATTGAATTAGCTGCCGTTTCCATGGAAGTCACCGCTGCTCACTGCATTCAATTTCCAGGCAGCCGGTTAATTGGCCAAACACCATCTAAGCCCGATGGCATCGGGTCCCCAACTTTCACGGGCTTTGGTAACCCGTTTCCACGGCGATCATTACGTGGTTTTGCCGAGACGATATCTTTTGGCCAAAACCACTCGCAATCGAGTCCAGCCAGTTTGCATTGCATTTATTCATTCGATTTGAAAAAACAACTGCAGCGAGCCAACGAAATGCACATTTTTCCACATGTCCCCACACATTTTATCCTTCAATTTGTGCGGAGCAAAAAGCGGCTTGTACTTGTCAAGTTCGCGGTGAAATTCGAAATTGGAGTTGATGTCCAGTGCGGTTTACTTGCAGTTTTACGAGTGCAATGCCTGATCTTCATGGCATCAGTTTTCAAATTGACTTGAGTGGTTTGGCTTGCGCAGTGCAAACAAAATTAGCTTAGGAGCTGACTATTTTCGTTGGCACAGTATCATTGTTTAGACATTATTATTTGGTAGGTAATGTTAAACTTCAATTATATTGCTGTTGGATAGTACTTAGGATCAAACATAAAATATAATGTTAAGCATGGGGAATATAGGTATTCAAGAATACAGTATGTTCACGTTACTTATTCATGTAACTGTGGGCTAACCACATCAAAGGGCTATATTAAAATTAAATTTTATTTAAATTTGAGTATGATGAAACCGAGTTTTGTGCACACTACTAGCTTCGAATGATGCACAACCAATACGAACAAGTTTAAGTTGGCTGGAAAAGGTACGTGTTGCACCGTAAAAACAATCGCTTCATACAAATTACTAGCTCGTTGTCAACCGTCAAGTGTTGCAGCATTGCTTTTAAGGCCATGTAATTTGAAAAGCACTTAACAGAACTGCAGTAGGGCACACATATATTTCACTAAAAACTTAAATTAATACACTTCACGAGCTCGGGGATTATTTATAGCAGCGACTCCTTTGGCAGCACTTACACCGGAAAATATCGAAGCGATGGAAGCTGAGCGTGAAGTAATTGCGGCGCGGATTCTTGTGCATCTTAACCGAGCCCAGCATATTCATTCTGTTGGCTATTTTCAGTCAGAGCACAGAGCACATTATCAGAATGTTGAACACAGTATGGACGGCCGGAAAGTCGCGGCTCTCCACTCGAGGTTGACGATGTTGCCTGGGCGAGCTCCGTTGGCAGCCTGAACTGGGTTCAAGCCATCGCCAAAGTTATTCACCCAAGACCATGACGACGGATCGCATTGGAGACACGAGAGAGGCCGCTCCGCAGAGGAAACACGTTCACTTTCGTGGGTAAAAGTTGCGCAGTTGCCAGATGCGAACATCCACGAACATCCGATTGCCAGGAGCCGCAGTGGGCGTGGCAAGTGGGCTCGTGTGGGCGGTGGTGCGGGTGGTGCGGCTGGTGGCTCGTCGGTAGCCAATTGTTGTGTGGGACATTCGCGACTTGTGGCAAACTGCTTCCTCATCGCGAATCGGGGACCCCAAATGTCCACTTTGAAGGCCTCTAACCCAATGACAATTGACACTCGAAGAAAATTTGGGCAACTTTGATGTATTATGGAGCCACTTTTGGTATCCAAAGATAACAAAGATTTCCCAATAGTGTGCAAATGTATTCTAAAAAGGAGATATTGTTCTTGAGCGTTTTAACAATCTTTAATATACTGCATTTCGTGATGAGTTTGCAAACGAAAGGCGCCAAGGCATTTCGCCGAGTGTAGCTTACATCTCATGACTGGGATTGTTTTCATCGCTGGCACTTCCACTTTTTCACTTTTCCAGCTGGAGCCCAACTTCCACTTCTTTGTTTTGGCCACATTTTCCACGGATCTTTGCCGCCTTATCGTGTGAACGTTGGCTCAATTAAAGCCTCTCTCCATTTCTCCTGCCCCATCGGACATAATGGGCAATTAACAAATGGAAAATCGGAGCCAACACATGTCAAACATGGCAGGTATTATTCGCATTTTTCAGTTGTTTTTTGCTTGCGTAGCTACGCCTTTTTTTGCAATTAAGTTAAGAGCCGATATTTACTGTGTGATAATGCGGGTTATTGTCTGCGGGCTTTTGCAAATCGACTAGGAAAGCAGCTACACACTTGGATTTTTAGCTAATTAGCAAGGAAATCGCTAAGTCATAGGTGACGATCAAATAGTGGAAGCAAAACCGAAACTGAATTTGTTTAAATAAGGAGAAATGGTTTGCCGTGCGGTAATCCCCTAATCAATCGTAATACCTTCCAAATTGACGACATTATTTGTATGGCTTTGATCACTCTACCCGAAAGCCCACACTTCAATCAAGATGTAACCATTATCCCATCCAATCGACGGCCTGCGACTGCCGCTGGAGATCAGGTTCTCCTCGGACAACTCGTTTCAGTCTTTTTTCCACTGCAGGGCACTTCACAGCCATTTTCCCCCATCAGCCGAACATGACTGGCGAATTTCCCCTAATTGATCAATCAAGCCGGGCAAGTGGACAGTGGTCACAAGCCATCGACGATGCGGAACCCCCACGAAAAGCAAGGGGTTCAAAGACCTGGCAAGCGGCTGAGGAACTTTACGCAGTCACTCAATCACTCAATCAACGATTGAGCAAGGCGAATGCCATATCAGCTTCTTGGTGGGATGAAGTCAAGGATGAGATCCCACAATCTCAAAGTAAACTACGCACATCATTTGAGTTTTGCCCTCTAACTGCTTTGATTGATTGGTGAAAACTGCCCATATCATACATGTAGTATAGCTAGAATCAGGTAGAACTCACCCGATATGGTGGACATGGTGCGATTGTGGTTGCCGCGCACCAGTTCCGATGGCCTCAAGCTCGGCTCCTCGACCACTTCGAGTCCCGAATCCGAGTCGACCGCTTCAGTGGCCACGGGATTGGGCGCTGGAACTGGAGGAGGAGCTGCGCCGCCTGCTCCATTGGCACTGGCTGGAGCCTGGTTCGGTCCGAAGACATTCTTCTTGTAGATGCCGTTGTTGCCAGTCATGCTGTTCGGCTGCTCGGCGGCGCCCCAGTTGTTGCGCTGCTGCTGCACTGGCGCCCTCAAAGGTGGAGGCAGTGGTGGTGGAGGTGGTCCATTGGCTGGTGGATTAGAGGAGGGTCTTTAGGATATTTTCCAAAGAGTTTGCTGCTCGAGAACGCAGATGATACTAAATGAATGGCTCAAGCGAGGGCAGCATTCTAGTATTAATACATTTAAGCAATGTAGTTCTCCATAAGTACCATTTATGAGTTTGTTAATTTACAAATTATATCTATAAATTTTATTAGTTATTTTTTGCAAGTTTTCTGCACTCACCCACGGCCAGATTTTGCATTGGTGGCGCCGAGGAGACCCGCTTCAGATTCCTGCTGCCCTGATTGCCGCCGTTCATGTTGCCCATGTTGCTGATGTTGTTGCTGCTGCCGCTGCCGCTGTTGTTGTTGTTGTTGCTGTTGTTGCTGCTCGGGGCATCCGCCAGATTGTTGCGGATCATGGAGTTCTTGTGGGTCTGCTTGGTGCGCTCGGCCACATCCTCCGGCGGACAGACACTTTCGTAGGTATCGCTCTTGATGCCGCCGTTGAGGAGCTGGTTCTTCAGATTCACGTTCTTCGCGCTGTAGTTGTCCTTCAGCGAGGACTCGTATTTGCTGCTGTGCAGTCCAATGATCGAATGCGACTTATTGCGATTCAGCAGGCTGCTGTTGTTGTTGCTGCCCAGTGCGATGTTGCTGCTGCTGTTGTTCAAGTTGCTGTTGTTGTTCATGTTGCGCTTGTTGTTCAAGTGCTGCGGAATCAGAGGGACATAATATAAGGATCAAGGGATATATAATGCACACACTGCAAGGTTTTCAACTGCTTTGTTGCATACTTTTGGACACTTTGGCGCCTGTGTTGCAACATCAAATAAATAAGTGGCAGACTTACGTGGTTGCTGTACTGCAGCACAATGTCCGTGCTCCTGGTGGAACTGGCGCTGGCCGATCGCGAATGGGAGCCACTGTCCCGCGACCGGGAGCGTCCCACGTTGTATTTGTGCTGCAGCTGCTGCTGCTGTTGCTGCTGCAACTGGTGCTGCTGCTGCTGTTGCTGCTGCAACTGGTGCTGCTGCTGGTGCTGCTGCTGGTGCTGCTTGCGCGACTCCTCGCGCACCAGGTAGATGTCCTCGTAGTCGTGATCCCCGCCGCCATTCTGAATGTTGGGCATGCCCTTGTGCGGCTTGTAGTTGTTGCTCTTGATGTTGCCGCTGGCGCTGATGTTGCTGATGTTGCTGCTGCTGCCGTGGCGATTGAAGCTCTGGCTGCGCAGCTGCGGCTGCTGCTTGGGCGAGTTGAAGCTGGACGAGATGGAGACGGACTCGTCGGAGCCACTGCCCGCTCCGCTGGAGCTGGAGTGGACGTCCGCCTGGATGGTCATGGCGTTGCCCGCCTTCGACTGCAGCAGCTGGTGGGCGTGGCTCTTGCCATGCTGCTTCACACTGCTGCTGCAATCGGAGTCCACGAACAGATCCCGCACCCGATTGTAGATGATGTCCTGCGGATCGTGCAGGAAGAACGACTCCCCGGAGATGCTGCCATTCGGCGAGGGTGTGTTGTACAGGCCACCATTCCGCATGGGGTTCACATACAGTCCATCGTTGGGCAGCAGGGCTCCACCGCCCCCACCGCCACCGCCACCTCCGCCTCCACCTCCTCCTCCAAGGCCGCCGCCTCCGCCTACCGAAGTGTTGCCACCCGGATTGCCGCCCAAGGAGGACGAGCCATTGTACAACTTCTCGGAGGAACTCCTCGATTGCTGCGAGTACAAGGCATCGCTGTTCTTCCGCGAGATGCCCATGCCCATGCCCATGCTCATGCCCATACCCATGCCCATGCCCATGCCCATACCCATGCCCATGCCCATCCCCATGCCCAAGCCCATGCCCGATCCTCCTGCTCCGCCTGCTATGGCCGGTGGATGCAAGTAGAATGGCTCCACGTCGGAGCTCAAAGTCGAGGAGGACTTGGACTTGATCGTATTGCTGCGACTCGTCTGCTTCGAGGAGTTCGAGTTCGAGTTGCAGCTGCTGCTCAGGTGTTGCTGCTGCTGTTGCTGTTGCTGCTGCTGCTGCTGCTGGTGGTGCAGTTGCTGCTGCGACTTGTGCCGCTGTGAGCTGCTTTTGCCATTGTAGTCCACCGAAGTGCCGTGCTGCACCAAGACGTTAAGGCACTGGACAGTAAAATAAGACAGGCATTAATACTTACACGTAACATGTGAGATTACCTAAGATTAAGTACCCACCTCAACCTGCTGATTCTCTGCCGCATCGTTGATGGGCGACTTGCCATACTTATCCAGGGATAATTTGGCGCCATGATTGAGCAGCCAGCGGACTACGGAGAGATGACCCCGGGAGGCGGCAAAGTGCAAGGGCGTGGCGCCATCGCCATCCCGCAAATTGGGATCCACCCCCTGATCCTGGACCTTTGATGGGAAAAAGGGGAGAGCAAATCAATAAAATGAATGCATCAAATATTAGAATGTTTATAAACTGAAAAACCGCCCCAAGCTGAACGGTGCATCAATGTCTCTTTAGTTGGAAGCACAACTGTCATTCCGGCCATGTTTATTACAGCTAATCCATTTAAAAGCACGATGTCTGGACGAGATGTTGAGCTATTCACTCCGCGCTGTCCATCCAAATGCCGACTCCTTGTCCACTAAATCAACTCAATGTCTTTCGGCGGCTAAGTATCTCACAGGCTGCGTATGTGGAAAGTGGTTTGCCAGCCGCCAGGCGTTGCGGCTATAATGGAAACTATTTAGTTCAATTTAGAAAGGCGGTTTTCCACTGCCGATGGCGTTGATCTTGAAAATGCATTCTGGTCATTGGGAGGCCATTGTCAGCGCTGAAAGATGTGGCTTTGCATAAGCCACTCTCTCCGCTCCTTGGTCTCTTGTCCACTTGGCTACTTGTCCACTTGGATACTTGACTACTTGGCAACTGGCTTCCTCCTCCATCGGACGCATTCCCCGATTGATAAATGGCACTGGCCTGGCGACAAACTGGCCGGGAATCCCACTCGAGAACCCCGTTAAAAGTATTGAAAACAGGACCCACAGAGATCAGCAAAAAGAAACGGGTTCACCGCCACACTGAGCAAAATGAATGGGTTGATGTTCCCTTTGCGATAGAATAGTCAACTGAATCAAAGAGTAAACTAGAATGTACACAAGGGTACCATTGGAAATGAATTTGAAATTGATATTGATGCAGTCGTTTATACATTTAATTTATGCATTTTTGTTTAGCAGATCATTAGATACTTTACAGGACTCATTTATGCCGCCTTACAGCTCGGATGATAATATAAAATATAATATAAAATGCAGCCCTTTCTAATTTGGTTCGTTTTAGTCCACTGCTAGTGCAACATGCATTTTTTGGCAATGCACTCAGCTCTGCAATTGACCCGCATTGCCTGCTGCAGTTGGCCAAGATGGCCAGCCAAGTTGGCAGCCTGCGGCTCGCAGACTGCGGATTAAAAGGCCGAATTTAAAGCGGAGCACCCCAGCTACTCACCATCCATTTGAGGCAATCCAAGCAGCCCATTTGTGAAGCGGCATGGATCGGTGCCATGCCATCGCGTGCACGGACGTACAAAGAGCCGCCGGCCTCGAGCACCAGAAACTTGAGCACCTCCAAGTGGCCCTCCTGCGCCGCCAGGTAAACGGGCGTGACATCGTTGTCCATTTGCGTATTGGCGCTGCAATCCGGCGGAAAAACAACTCATTACTCGACATCCAATTAGGTGGCATAGGGGGCATATTATAGGGGCCTAATGACCAAAAAGTTGCACCGAAATAGCTAAAAGTGCGCTCGCATATAGTATAACTGCAGTTAATCGATAGAAACGCACTGGGTCACTGGAAAATCTCTACGCAGCATTTTCCTCTTCTTTGACCGGTTTTCCACTCGTTTTTATTGCGGAACATCATCGATCGATCGATTACAAAGAGAGGTGGCAGGCAGCTGGCAGGCAGAGATTAATCAACTCCACCGCCAATGGAAATGGTAATCTCCGGAGAATGTGTGGGAAAAGTTATGCACCGATTTGTCACGGGTTTCAGCGCACAATAATCCTATCAAATGTGGACTGCCATTGATCGGAATTGGGTAACAGATTTCGAGATTATGTCAAAGTCGGTGGCTCTCTTTGCGACCATTAGTTTAAAGGCATTAAACCAATTAAGCGCTTTGTTTAGTGTAAATATTTAAATAAAATCAGTGGCATGCATGAATTCAGTTCATGAGTCATTTTAGACAACCATGAAAACGGAATTCGAAAGTAAATGAAAACTTTCTTAACGGTTTATAAATTACTATTGATCTAAGCCAAGACAAACGAGAATGCAATTAATAATACAATTTAGCCCCAGACTTATATTGCTAAAGGTAAAGGGTAATAAGTAAAGGGTTTCCTTTTCGTGGGACCGCCCCAATTGGCTTAGAAGCAAACCCAAGGTGATCAGTGTTTCTCTCAGTGATTTCGCACCTAACGACGCTGCGTCGGTTGTTCTGCTCCTTGCGCCCCACGCCGCTCATCATGGGCGTGGCCTCGTCGTCCTCGTTGGAGTCCTGGTCGACGTCGTGGTCCATCTGCTGACGCACCACCTCCACGGCGGACTTGCGTTGGAGGTGCGAGTGCGGGTGGTGGTTCATCTCCGTTTGGGCCGGCGGATCCTTGGCGTGCGGATGCTGCTGGTCCGGCTCCTCGCTGCTGCGATCCTGGGCAGGTGGCTCCTCGATGGGGCTGGTGCTGCCCTGGCCGCCGTCCTCGAGCTCCGATCCTGTGCTGCTGCTGTGGACACTGCTGCTCAGAATGGCCGCCGTCACCACCTCGGTGGCAATGATGGTGTGGATGTCATTGTTCGACTTGGACTTCTGCTTGCTGCGGCGGTAGGAGGTCAGACTTGTGGTCATGCGGCCCAGGAGGCCCTTCTTAACGTTGATCGTGGAGAAGTAGCTGGCGGAGGAGGAGGAGGATGGTGACGATGAGGAAGTGGACTGGACTTGGTGGTCGGGTGACTGGGGTGGTGTGTGTTTGAGTGGGTCCTTTGCTTCTAACATATATATATATTTGTATTGATTTTTATTTTTATTTTGATGGGTTCGAATTGGCAGTGCGCTTGGTGCGTTGGTGTATTTACTGAATTTTTAATTTATTTAATTTATTCGCTGGGCTTACCGTTCACGTTCGAAATTTTAATTTTCACTTTCGTTTGTCACTGGACTTTGTATGTTTTCCGGTTTTCGTGTAGCTTTGATTTTCCTTGTACCGTTACACAAACACACTCAAATGCACACGCACAGGCACGGGAAAAAAAATGAGTTCGATTTATGGAACTGGTTTAGGAAAAATCACCTAAATGCCCCGATTTGCATAGCAAGTTTTCGGCTGCAGTCTTTTGTTTTCCACTTAATTCGTACAATTTCTTTATGGACCACATATGCACCTGCTGAAACCGAAAGTCGCCATTATTCCGACAGCTCGCTGCGATGTCTGGGCTGTGATTAAACCCTCGATGCTCGATCTGCTCGACAGACTTATGCTTCTTGCCTCACATCTATATAGCTTTTTAGGTGAAATTAACGCCTAAAAGCGAAACAAACACAGCAACCATCGGGGGGAGGAGGTTTCTCTCCGCGAGTAGTTACGCCTGACTCCCAGTCTAAAGTCTGCACTTGTCTTGGCGTCTGCCATTCGTGTAGATGTTGCTGGAGTTGCTGGAGTTGCTGGTGTTACCGTTTAGTTGGCTTTCCTCATGCCACAGTGGGGCAAGAGTGGGAGTGCCTCATCCAACGGGAGAATTATAATGGCCACTGATCACTGTGATCACGCCAGCTTGGCCAGCGCCAAAATTACAGGCCAGGCTTTTCCAACTACCTAATTTTCCAATTGCCTAACAGGCAGAAAAATCGTTAGCCAGCTTGGGCATCATTTAGTTGCTAACACTATTCGGAGCAATAAATCGGGCAGCAGAACTTCATGGATTCAAAAGAGGGCTCTAACCAATTCTGAAAAGAGCGTAGAATTTCCAGCAGTTCTCCCATTTAGCTGTTTAAATATATACACTTTGAAATAGTTTTTTGTAACTATCCCTTTTACCATGGTGCTCTCCCACTGTGCTTTCGCCCCCTGAGCTCCAGAAGATTCGGAGGCGTCGGAGGCGAAGATGATGGGTATATGGGTACGGATACTGGTATCTGTTCACTTAGTCAACTGGCTTACGACTTCATGGATATTGCGCACGGCGGCGGAGTTAGCTTTCTTCGTCCGACTTCGGACTACTTGTTACATTTTCCAGCTTTTCTCGCTTAGAAATGAATTGTAAACCAATTAAAGTTGATTTTTCATCTTTATCCACTCCATGCAGCCATTTATTTTTCGCGCGTTGTGGCTTCTTCAGTAGGTGAAAATAGCTACACTGTATGTGTATGTATCTATATATTGCCAATTTTTCCTCTTTGCTGTTTTTTTGTGCTTGGCCCCCTGTCTTATTTCTCACTATTTGCAATTTAATAATTATTTTTTAATTTATTTAATGTGTCTGGGGGCCGAGGCAGCAAGTGGAATTTAAGAGCGAAATAATTGAGGCGAAGCAGGAGCCTCGTTAGAAATGCCAGTTGACAGTTATAGACTCGTTTATTTAATTGAACATTTGCGTGCTCGAATCCAATGATGGACGATCAACAATTGGCGATCCACAATCCAGACTCGTCGATTGCCCATCGCTGAGAGAATGCAGAATGAAAGACATGCGAGTGACACAAATAGACCCCAGGGAGCTGAAGAGATGCGAAGATACAGATGCAGATACAGATACGGATACAGAGATACAAAGCCGAAGTTTGTATTACGCAGCGATTAGTGGATACATTCAAGTGATTTCGCCTGCAAATGTGGGCAGTAATTGCCGCTTCGCGCTTTAATTCCCCAACAGTTAACTCTTTTCCATGTTTTCTGGCTTCTTTTAAGAGCTTCTATAAGGTATAATTCTACTCATCCTAGGAAAGGTATGCAAACGGCTTTTTTCGGCAACTATAAGCCACATATAAATACTTTGATCTTTAATGTTCTATTCTATACTATTTTAAACTCTCCTCTCATGAACTACATGATGTTTTCTCACCAAGTATTTGTTGGTATAGCTTCTAGTTTCATATGGGCATAAATTGGCGAGCGAGATGATTAATCACAGTCCAGCTTACTGTATTTAATATGTTTTAATTTCCAGTGAGCTTGAATAATTTCTTTGGGCCTTCTAATTTTAATAAATTGTTATTCTATCCATAATATAATTATATCCAAATATTAATGAGCGTTTTTTTGTGTTCATGGGTGTATTAAGTGATCATTAAACACAGTCCACTTAGCAAGTGAATATTTAAATTTCTGAGACCAAGCACAAGCACTCGAAACTGAACGCATATATTGTAGAGCATTTAATTCCGCACTCAAACACACTTGCAAAAAAAACGTATTGGATTGGCTTGGCATCCTTGGCGTCCCGGTGGCCAATTGATTTGCTCGCTGCCTTGGCCAATCGATTAGTGGCAACTGAATGTTGGCCAAAAGCAGCCGTGGCTACCTTTTCATGGTTGCGGTTGCTGCGGCTGCTGCTGCTGCGGATGTTGCTGCTGGCTTGGGCATTAAGCCAAATGTTGTGGCTACTGTTTGCGGGGTGAAGATGATGATGTTGCTGTTGCTGTTGCTTTAGCTGCTGTTGTGTCTTGCAGTTCTTTGGTACACTGAAACTGTTAATTAATTCGCGTTCCGATTCGTTAACTGCATTTGCGATACTTTGAAGCGCGAAATTTTGTCTGCCGTTGCTGCTGCTGTTGCTGTTGCTGTTGCTGCTGTTGCTGCTGCTGCTGCTGCTGCTGATGCTGCTGCTGGCTGACCAACGGACAGTCGCGGGGGCGTGGCCGCGCTGCTGCATCGAGCTTCACAACGAAACCGCACTAAAACCACCATTGAAATCAAAATTCAAATTCATTCCGTGGCCGCATGTTGCTGCTGCTGCATAACGGTCGCTGGTAAACGGTAACGACTTTAACACCAACTATAACTTTATATATTTGCTGGAAATATATAAGCTATGATGCCATATAAGACCGATGCGATACAAGACCCACGGACGAAAGCACCGTTCGCCTCGACTAGCCAAACGCGAATAGCCAGCACCACCGAACGCCAAGCGTCATCGAGTGGCCACCGCGAACCACTGGTGGTGATGGTGGTGATGGTGGTGATGGTGGTGTTGGTGGTGCTGCTCCCTCCACTTCTTCATCTTCTTCGGCTTGCTCTTCTTCTGGGGCGGAGGGGCATGTCGGGGACAAGCCAGGTAGCTCGACATCGAGCTGTCGCCATACGCATTATTATCAAATGGCCAGTGGCGAGGGCGGATCGACAGTTCTACAGATGTCACCCGGAAGTAGGTAAGGTTCCTTAAAAAATTTAGCAAAAATATTTCACACCCTCATATTCCAAAGCCTTCAAAATGAATATGCTTCCCATGGGACTTTTTTGTGAAAGGCATTTTAAAATATTTTTGACATGCAAAGCACACAAAAACACTTCTCTAAAATTGTTAAATAAATTTAACGCTGCATTTAAGTTTTACTTTTGTGTTATTCTCTACAAAAAAGTCATAGAACTGCCCTCGCTTTCTTCTTTACAGTATTAATACAAGAAACACCAGCTGTTTGCATCGAGTTGTCTCTGTACGCAAAACTATCAAACGGTTTGTGACGAGGGTAGCTTGATAGGTTGTAACTAAGATTTGTATTTACTAATTTTACGTGTGCTGAAACTCATGTGCTAAGCTGAATGTGGGGCGATTATTGAGATAATATCTTGTGATAAATGGGCAGTTTTAAAGGCCCAACGTTGCTAGCCTTAAATATTATTGAAAAAATACCTTATAGAGATTTTATTAAATCAAACCTGAATAATTTTTCTAGATTCTCATCTCTCGCTCTTTTCTGTGTCGCTGTGTCAGTTGTCATGCCAATTGATCTGCCTTGGCGCTTTGCAAATATGAATTTAGCTGGGGAGGATCGAGGGAAGTGGGGATCGTGCAGTGGCACTGATTCTGACTCCGATTCCGCCTGTGATTCTGAATCCAAATCTGATTCCTTGGACAGTCAGTGCGGAGTTGCTCCACTTCGTGGCGAGTGAGGAAAACTCGTTGCAACGGTGCTTTGTGAGGCTGTGAGCTTTCCAGTTTGACTCCAATTGAAAATAGCACACGATAGAACCAAACCTGGCCTGGACTCGATTGGATTGGATGGCTTGGATGGCTTGGATGGCTTGGGGGGATGGGATGGAATGGCATGGGCTCGTAGGCGACTCGGGGGGCCAAGGAGTGCAGAAGATGGAGTGCATCTCGCTTGGCTGGCTCGCCTTGGCCAGTTGGACTCCCATTCCCACTTCCCAATTAAATGAATCAGCTTTGGACGCGTGCTGCTGTTGGGGCACAGGAATTTAGGTGAATCAAACACTGGCCACGGATCGCTAACCCACTTGGCGGGTAGTTTTTCCAAGTTTTCCAAGATATTCGCCAGGTTTTCCTTGTCTTTCCCAGTTCTTCCCCACTCGCCTTCATTCTTTCTACTTTGTTGGATGAGCTAATAAGTTTTAATTAGTGCATTTAATTGCCTGCTCCCAGCTCTCCAGGTAGAAAATTCGTAATAAGTTCTCAAATCGACGTTCAGCTTATGATAATCAGATCGTTACAGAGGCTTAATGCGCTTGAATGCTTTCATTTAAATAATTATCAGATTTATGCAATAAATGGAGCACATTGGACCACGAAATACTTGCAAAACTCTTCATACCAACCAAATAATCAATTTAGTTTAAGAAAATCAGTTGATTACCAATTATTAATTTTTTAAAAATATATATTTATAAATTCATAATCTTAATCTTCTTTTAAAGCATTTAAATACTCACAGTATACGGATGGAAGAAATGGATTGAATGCTACGATTGCCACAGCTAGAAAGTCACTTATTTCGGCGCATACGAGTATACTAATCGAATCAGATAAGAAACCCCTAATGAGAATAATTGTCGCAGCAAAATGGAAAGAAACCGCATCAAATGGAAATGCAGACAAATGGGGGAAAAATAAAACACTAAGCGGAGCCATTGATCGTCTAGCGATTTCCCCGACACATAAAGACAAAGAACAGCTGGTGAAAGGCTTTCACCCCGCACTAAAATCGCGATGCAACTTCTGGTCGTCGTGCAGTCGACTCCTTGGGGACAGGTGCTCATCCACTTACCAAATATCCACGGATGCGGCGACCAGCAGTTGGACGCAATCGAGGCAACCACGCGCGGCGGCATAGTGAAGGGCCAGAGCTCCTCCGTTGGGTCTTTCGCTGCCGGAAACGCTCCCCGGATGGTGCATCTGGCCCACTTGGCCCATGCCGCCCAGATCCATCATGCCGCCCACTCCGCCCACGCCGCCCAGGTAGGAATCTAGCTGGTGGGAGTGCATCCTTGTGCTCGGATTGATGCTGCTGCTGTGGCTTTGGTTGCTGTGGAGGAGCTTGTTGCTGGGCAGATTGTTCAGTTTGTTGCTGTGGCTTAGGTGCAGATTCGAGTTGAGCGCATAATCGTTTATGGTTCTGCAGGAAAGAAGGAAGTTCGATTAGTTTTAATTTGCCAGAAAAAGCCTTAATGACTAAAAGAATAACTAAAAAACAACTTTATAAGTTGACTGCGAAGTCAGTTGGTGAAGAAAATATTGCATACTTTTAAGCTTGCTTTGTATCACCAATTGCGGTACACTTTTCTGTGCGCCAAACAAATGACTCATGACACAAACTTACGGACTAAGCTGAAGACTTCAGACACGAACTTAAAATAAATTTTAAAAATATCCTTGAAACGCATTTTACACTTTTCTGGTTACCAACATCTAATGTTCACTTTTGTGGCGAAACTAGTCTCATGTTTGGTATCGCCAAGAAAAATGTTCATTGTTCTTAAATTGTTTGTTTGACAGACATTTAAGCGCGACTTTTAATTAATTAATTGGCCGGGAGAAGTGATGGTAATTAATTTTGAAGGCATCTGTTTGCGCATCTGGGGCTGCACTTGGATTCACTGGGTGCCCTTTTCCGAATCACTAAACCAGGTCAAGTCTGCTGCTGACTCACCTGATTGCCGTTTCCGCGGCACAAACAAACAAACAAACAATCAAACAGTCACAATCATAATGATAATGCTAAGAGAAACAATACACACGGCGACATATTAATTGAATGCTGAGAAGCAGCGCCGCCAGCATTAAAATGCGAAAATACCGGGCATTTGTGGTTGAATCTCGTTTGTCGTTGGTCGTTTGCCGCTGCTTTCCACTTGTGGCAACGAGAAGAAACAGAAAGCCGCGAAGACGACACTTTCTTCCAGTTTATTGCATCAACGCTGGCATCGCCGCACAGCAAATGGCAAATGAAAAATGGAAGCGGGCCGGTAGCAGGTGTCAACAAAACAGGGCAGGTGCCACCAAACCCATGAAAACCACACAGCCAACAAGTCTAACAAATCCGACAAAACCCACAAACGTTTAGCTGGGAAAGAAAAAAGTGAAATAAGCGATTTGGCAACAGCATGCAGGCCAGTTGGTCAACTGAAGTGCAAAGGGGGTTAAGAAAATTATGATCTTTAAGGGTGTTAAGAGGTGCCCACCGTTTTTTGGCTTCATCTGATCTCTGGTTTGTGATATAATTCGGGTGAACAGAAAGTAACGTAAACACTAATTTTTGAGGTAAAACAATTTATTTATATATTCGTGCAGCTATTTGAAACATGTATTTGCTCAATGCTCAATGCTCCTATACAAAACAAATTTTTAGCTAAGATATTAATGAGTATGGCAAACGCATCCATGCGGTTAATACTGCAACTTAAAAAGCGAAATTAAAGCCTTTCAAGGCAAGCTGCTCTTAGTGAGTATGAAATAATACAAATAGATAATAACCTACGGATTTTGAGGTATGTTTCTATTATATATCAGTCACTGCTTACTCGTAAATATCTAGGTAAATATGTATTGGAGAGGAAGGGGATAGTCAAAGCTCGAAAAAAGTGGAAGAACTGAGAACGGAAGAAAATAATCATTTAAGAAATTATACTCATGGAGATCATTGGTTTTTGTGGAATGGGAAAGCCGGAAAGCTGGTGGGAAATTTGAATGCTGCTTTCGATCCAAGAGTTCGCACATAATCCCATGGGTAAAAACTATAAATCATGTACCTATCACTGATTTCGTCGAGGCAACAGACTCATTAAATAATAATATGAATTGCCATTGCTTTTTCAAAGATCGCACTCATGACAAATATTTGTTGTAGCACTTAACAAAAAGGTAGCCAATATACTTATATTTCTAGCACTCCCAAATTATTTTAAAATCATTCGTACACTGCATGTGTAGTTTTTATCGACACGTTACTGTAGCTAATTGATCTGGGCGCTCGTCTATTTTTGTGGCTAATTTGTGTTCTGGTTTGCCGTTTTGTTTATTTTCATGGCGATTTCTTTTACCTCAATTTGATGGCAATCTCGCGGCACTTGACACATGGCACCTGGCTGGATTCCTTGGCGGGCACTGCCGCACTGCCTCCCTTTTCCGCCGGAGCTATTGTGGCATATTGGGCCTCCTCCTCCTTTTCCGGCTGCTCATCGGCCTTCTCATCCGCCTCCGTTTCGCTGGCAAAATCCACGACCAACTCCTCGTTGGACTCGCGGCTGGATGGCAGCACTTGCCTCCTGCTAAAGTAGCCCACGTGCTGGTCCACTCCCGCACTGGCGTCCAGCAGGATGCGCTCGTAGGCGGCGCTCTCGTTTTCGGAGAGGGCGAACCGCTGCTCGAACACCCGGACGGGCAGAGCACTTTTCCGGAGCACCTCCATCCGCTTGTGCCGCAGCTCGATGGAGAAGATCAGGCGGACGCGCACCAATCTCCGGAGGCCCTGGTGCGTGGACCTGGCGCGCTGCAGCCTCCTGCGCTGCTGTCGCAGCTCCAATTTCTCCAGGCCCTTCAGCGATTTGGGATCGATCAGGCCGTGATTGTAGTCCTCCACTGCTGTCAAATCCAAGGCGGATCGCGTGCGGCGCCAGGGCACCAAGTCGAAGTGGGCGCCCGCCCAGGGATGGAAGTTCACCTGGCTGACGTTGGTGCTGCGATCCTGCTTGAGTATCCAATCCGATTGCTGCTCCTTGGTCACGCGCACGTGATCATTGCGTGCCGCTGCCTGCGGCTTGTGGCGTTTGTATCGCGGCACCAGTGTCGCCTCCAACATCCGCGCATCCAGACCGTAATCGCGACGCAGCTGCTCCAGCTCCCTGCTGCTGGCCGTAAACTGAGCACCGTTCCACACGATCACCGGCGCACAACTGGCCATTGGATTCGTTGCGTGGCTGGTTGCTCTTGTGGTTGTGGTCTTTTGGTTCTATACAAGTGCACGTATTCCCACCCCGAAAGTTCTAACCCCTGACTCCCGGACTCCCTGTTGACTTGTTTTTTCACTGATTCCGTTCTGTTTCTGATTTTCCGAGAACCCGCTCGCTTTCCGGTTTCCGCTCGGCAATGTCGCGTTTGTCGCGTCCGCGCTCCGTGACGCCGGCGACGCAAATGTTCGCTGGCCAAAAAAGATACAAACTCAAAATCCGCAGTCGGATCGGATGCCTATGCAAAAACGCTGCGCCGGCTGCGCTGCCAGCCAAACGCCACTCATGATTAAGAGTTTGCTGTTGCTGCTCTTTTCTGTTATTGTTATTGCTATTATTGCTATTGGTATTGTTATTGCCGATGTTATGTTTTTGCTATTGTAATTGTGATTATGGGCTGTGTTGTTGGTGCCGCTTTGTTTGCCACTGTTGCCGCAGCTACACGCAACGAAAATAGGGCCAATGCCCGATATTTCATTATACTTATACTATACTTATATATTCATTATACTTAAATCAATCAATTTTCTAATTATTGGAATTTCTCAAACTTTTTTTAAGCAACTGCAACATTTACAATTTAAAGTACACAATATATATATTTTTCAATAAAAAAGTAATACCAATTACCTTTATAATAAATGAGAACCTCTCTGACATCTAGGCATTTTATTGCTTATTATCTTAGTAATTTATTTCGAGTGTCACCATTACGACAACGTGTAAAATTGCAAAGCTATTCCACTAACTGTCTATTTCTTAAACTTACTTAACCTAAACTTATTTTACAGCATATGATTTCCAATTTGTTTATTCGTACTTAAACATTCAATATTTTACGTTAATTTTCAGCATTTTGCTGGCTGAGACCAAAAATTTAAGTTTTAGAATTTAGCCAGACTCAAGCCCGCATTTTCTCGCTGTGCACGTTCAACGCTTGCTCAACATTGAAGAGTCGCGGCTTTGCTGCCCCTCTGATTGTATTATTTATTTATTTTTCACGCTCACTGCCATGTCAACTCTGCTCTGGGGCAACCCTCTGCCGGCGTCGACGCCGGCGTCGCTTCACTCGGCTGCGCACGCGTCAACAACAACAGAAACAACAACATCGGCCTGCATAGTAATATTAACTAAACTCCATAGTTGCTGGAATTATCGCCGCTGTTGCTGGGCATTCAGCCATTCGAGTTCACAGTTCTATTCTCGGCTAATTGACAGCATCGGGCCATTGGCATTGTATTGGCCAAATTAGCCAACAATTGCGGCAGTGAAATAGCCCTTTTTAGTACAGATATGGGAAACATGTACAGTATTCATAGGTCCACCAAACAATACACTTGAGCTCAAGAACTAATGAAATACATGTTCCCATGTACCATTCTTAAAAACGTTTTCAGTATTTATCCGTTCTTGAAATAATAAGGATAGTGTGATATACTTAATCCTACAGTTATAAATAAAATGTTCATGGTGCTAAGTAATCATATTTACAATTAATTTTTGTATATATTTAATACATAAGTATTTACTTGTTTCTTTGTATTTTGTGATATACGTTTGCGATCGTATTATTATTTAAACTCCAAATTATTTGCAGTTAATTGCAGTTAATTCCCATTTGCCTCGATCGAAGTTTAGCTAATTTCCATGGAAAATATGCAATTAAGTTGCAAAACATCCGCCTGGTGTTTAGTTCTCATTGCCTTCTAAGCATTTTCCACGCAAAGTGCTCTTCGTACGCGAGGCATGCCAAATATCAATTATGCTATATACTTTATACACCCACTACATAGAGTTTGTGCCCCTAGAATGGGCTCAACTCAGGCGTGGCGAATATAAATGAATTGGGGGCTGGCCTGCAGCTTCTTGAGTGGCAATTGAGCAACTCCACCTGCGCGCTTCCCCCGCATTTTTCCCATTTTTGCCATTTTTCCACCCGGCTTTTCCACCTGTGTGACTCATGAAAAGCGTGTGCAGACGGCGTAAAGAGTTGCCTCGATTTCTGGTTCAATGGCGCTCAGGCTGCGGGTGTCATACGAATATTACGTGACTTTCAGCTGCTGTAAAAGTAAAAACTTGTAGGTCTAGTGCTCAACCTCAACCTCAACCTCAAACTCAAACTCAAACTCAAACTCTGCGTAATATCTTTCCCTTTGGGCCATGTGACCCAAAAAGGGCAATGAAAATGAAAACGCCAGAGATGAGAGCCATTGAATGACTTAGAAAGGCTGCTATTGAGGGTTCGGCGTAGTCGTAGTTATAATGCAAATAATATAATATAACTGAGCACATTATAATGGAGGTCCATCCGCATTTCACGTATTTGTCGCTTGCCATTCAAATTCAAATTCACATCTGGCCGAAGGCTGTCCAAATCCCATCCATTCAGACCATCAAAGTGGTGTGACATACATCCCCAGTCATATCGATAATATATTTATTGTATTTACTCTTGGCTCACATTGCCCGTGGGCATTTGGCGCTAGAATTGCGCAAGGCGTGTGTGTTTGGATTTGTGTTTTTAAGTTTGTAAATTATCATAAATACAAGTATAACAAAGCAAGAACCGTTCGAATTCGTTGGCTCGTAAGAATTGGATTGTCCCCACAGGAAATTAAATAATATTGTTTCACAGATTTCTCTCGGGATAAGAGATTCCACGTTAGTGAAAATGTTTTAGATTACGCGTCAATTTGTTTACAAGTATTTAAGCTAAGCAGCAGTCAAACACTTTGTTGTATTCATATTATAATTTAACTTCCTGGTGCAATAAAAATGTAGCTATCATTGGCCATTGTGTCAAAGAGCTTACTGAAAATACTGAAATAATTCTGATGCCAAATCAAATGAAGTCTTTTCAAATATTTCCCAAGAATATTTCCATTTTTACTGACCCACTCTTAACTTGGAAAACTATTAATCTGCGTAGTATTCGAAGTACGAGTGTAAGCAATTTGAAAAGAGCTGAAATCATCAGCTAGCAAATGCTCCACTGATTTTGAAGGGTAAAACCATAAAAAGGAAAATAATTTCTTCTGGGCGCTGGAAAACAGTTTGGTGGGTAACTGTGTGGCCCACTCGGCGTATGGGAAATGAACATAAAACACCATAAAGCACCACTCGCAACCACAAAGGCTTTAATAGCACTGTGGTGGGGCAATAAAAACGAATGAAGAAAATAAAATGTGCCTGCTACTGCTATACGGACTTACGAATATTTAGGTAATTGCGCAATATGGAAAATCGGGGGGAGTTTATATATGCGAAATTGGGTTAAGTGGAATTTAACAGAGTTTACCTCAGTTTAACCTATAGACAAACAACACATGACAGGATGCATGTTTGATATTAAGAAGGACATAATGCCTTAATGTAAGAATCAAGAAGTACTTGTTGTTTATAACAATTAATGCACAAGAATTTATTACTTTACGGTGCATTCATTTTTCGACGCAAAATTCTTTGACTTACGATATACGAACTTTGCGATCACAACTTGCATACTTTTACTTTCGCCCCTTTGTTTTACTTTTCGGGTTTTGCCAATCAAAAGCAGAACGTCCGCTAGACTTTGATCTAACGGTAAACGGTTCGGTTTCATCCATCCGTCGAATCGGTTCAGTTCATCAAAGATCGAAGATCTCACATGGCACCTAAATACAAGTATGTCTTGCCCCATCCGTCAATTCAAATTCAAATTTTCGAACGGCCGAGAATCGAAACACAAGTTTTCACTTTCGTGTGTGATTTTGGCAGAGGAAAAATGGTGGAAGAGCAAAATTAGAAAGCAAAAGTCCATGTGCTAAACTCTTGAGCTTTTGATGAGCGTTGATATATTAAGAATTTTTGTGGTATTCAAAAGGTCGCACGAAAGATCGTTGGACTCAGTAAATCAGAGAAATTGATGTGGTATAAACTCATTCTAGCTAAGAATATTTAAAAATTTGATAAAGAATTTAAGCTAGTGTCTAAGATCCAAGAAATCTTGGATATAAAAATTTCATTTGGAAGCTTAAGTGGCCCTTACAAAAGCTCTGCGTGTACTTCACTCTTTCTATCTATATATGTCCGTCTCTTTCTGCGAAACTCCCGTGTCATTCATATGCAAATCTGAGTTTATTCAATCACTCATTCATGCGATTCAAATGAAGTTCGTCCGTGAAAGTAAGCCATGGCAAAAGTCCGAGAAACAAACATTTGTCCAACAATCAGCCGACAACAAATGTTCAAACAAGACGAGACATCAGCGCCCGTCCGCTCACCTGAAGACTCACCCAAGTTGTGACAGGTCGTGGTCCATTCCATTACGCCTCCCGCCTGCCCTCCTGCCACGCCCCCTAACACCTAGCCGCCCCTTGGAGAAAAAAGCGCAAGAGGAGAAGTTCGGTGAATGCCCTGCCTTCGAGTGGCGACTGCAAATGAGTCAACAGGCTGGCAAACATGAATGCAAATATGAATATGCAGAATACCCTTCACTTTGAACTGAACCAAGTGCTCAAGAGCTTTGAGTTGGAAAAACTGAGGAAATCTGATGAAGACTGCTCTAGTTTCGAAAGCTTTATGCCATTTGGTGGTTTTATATTCCAGCTAGTGCGCGCTTTAAATTTATCTAGTTATTTATATTCAGCAATACAATTCTTAATATACATTACATTTTTGCCTAATCATATTTAAATTTAAATAACTTTAAAAACTACCAGTTTGAATGAGAGTTTGACAACTGAAAATAATGAATAATTGAATTTTTGTTGCCCAGTTAACTAATTGTCTGTAATGGACTTTGTGCGTACGGATTAACGAGATTTTCCCAGCCGCCAAACGCCGAACATCAATGAACTTGGTGGATTTATGGCTCTCCCTCGGCGACTTTGGCTTTCTGCGCTCTGCTAATGACCAAATGCGTGCAGGTCTTGGCCAAATCGATCGGGGGCTGGCAGCACTTGGACAAATGGCCAATTACGATTGGCGACAAGCATACAACTCGGCATAGAGCCACACCGATGGGTGGGAAACCCGTTCGAGGCGATGGAAAACATGGAAAAGATGAAAATGCAGCGAAAATGTCGTATGTAAACGGTTGCCTTAATAATCGACATTGGTGGAAAGTTGCAACCGCCACTCGGTTGTTGACCGCATCCATGCATACTACGTATATACACATATATATATATTTAAGTATATACAAAGAGTCTGGAGTCTGGGCAAACGAAAGCAAAAGCAAAAGGATGGGAGGGGAGGGGAGGGGACGCGCCTCTCTGGAGCAAACAAGTTCCCCCAGAAATTTCACTTTCTTTCTTTAGCTGTTTCTTGGTTTTTGGCTTGGACTTGGCTCAGTTTTAGAGGAACTCCTTTGAAATGAGCAATAGCGTTGCTAATTAAAGCAATCGCTAATTGCACAAATAAATGATACCACAAATAATTAGCGTCTGGCAATCAATGCGATCGACTTGTGATTTATATACAACATGCATCTGTAACCCGAGTTGAACGAACGGAAATGAAATGAAATTCGCAGGGAAAATCAAACATCATCCCGTCCAGAAGATAATCTCAATTTGATTGGCCTGGCGGCGGCATTAGTTACAGAATTATTAGCCAAATTGAAATCGAATTAACCGAAAATGTGCCAGCAACAAAACAATCAAAAATAATGCTGAATTCAGTGTGGAACAAATGGGAAAGAAAGTTGAAACTAGCCGAATAGTTTGGTATCCTACGATGTTAAGAAAATAATTACAAATTGGAAAAGATATTCATATACCTCAAATGATGTTTCCTATTTATAACTCCAAGGTACTTTGTAATACTCTTTATTAAGTCATGTACACATGCGGCATTTTTGGAGGCAACATACCAGAATACCCTGCTTGTAGAGTATCATATATAATGCAAGATATATTACCAATCTCTGCGATTGCCATGCAACAGTGAGCGAGTTTTCCGAAGGGGAAATCGGGGTGTCTGTGTGTGTGTGTGCAACTCCGAAACAAAACAAAATTTTATGCGGTTTTATTATTACCCATTTTTGTGGGTTTCTTTCCAGATTCTACGCCTCTCACGTCAGTGGATATGCTTTTGGATATGGATATGGATATGGGCATAGATATATGGATATGGCCCGGCTGGTCCGTTCATTTATCACGGCAGACGCTCTGGAACCGAATGGCTTGTGGCTTGTGGCATGTGGCATGTGGCACGGCGGCACGTTGCACATAAACGCATTCGGCGCGCGGTGGTTACAACACCAGCAATCGTCGTAATTATCACAGCAAGTCGTATAATCTGAGCCAGCCAAACTCGAAGGGTTGTATAACTTAGGCAAATCAAGGCGAATGATACATCGTACAGCGTTTCGCGGAGAAAGTCATCAACTATCCGTGAATCGACTGTTTTAAGGCCGTTCGCCATGGCCTGCGGCGCGGAAGATTTTTATATCTCACAAAGTTCCTATAGTTTTTATACAAGAATATTGCCCTGCTATATAAAGCCAGCAGTAATAGTAGTCAGCAGCAGTGACTGTTCAATAGTAATTACTTTATTCATTGCCGAAGCTTTGAACTACACATAGTGAAGGTTTTACATACATTACATTCAAAGCTTGAGACTTACATACTTAAGTTAGTCGTTTTCTAAAAAGCAATAAAAGTTCTTGAGCCTCTAAAGAATTTTATTTATTCCATTACCTATTTTCACAGAGCCAAGCAACATTAAAATGTTTCATTGCACATTGAATGCAGTTTTGTATTGTATAGCTTAGTTTCAACTCATGCCCATTGCGCTAGTGGCTTATCTTCCATTATTATTATAAGTTCTTTATAGTCGATTTAAGTAAGCTAGAAATCTACATTGATTTTCCATAAAATAATCATATTTGAGACCATAACATGTTCGCACTAGTGCTCAGAACTTACCGCAAAGCATTTCCTCTAGAGATCTGCAAGAACCAGATTTGCCAGCACTGATTGATATATTGATTGATTGATTGATTGCACACACACACGCACACTCACAAGGCAAAGCACATGTTTTCCAGAAGGCAGTATGCCATATTCTGTTTTAATAACAAGCCTCCAAATTGCTACAAAAAAAATGTGTACTTAAAGTTGCAACTGCATTTTTGGAAGGAAATGCTCGGAAAAGTTCGTTGCCTAAGTCTCTTGTTTTGCTAGCGTTAAACGGTTGAAGAAAACGTCTGCTTTTTTCGTGGAGCGCGGCACGTGCTGAGCGAACAATGGTCGCGGCTTGTTTGAGTCGCAGCTCTTGGCGCGGCGATCGGCGAAAGAGATGCCGTTGCAGTCGGCGAAAGAGATGGCGGCCAGGCCGGAGAAAGAGACGGCGAGAGAGCAGACACCACACAGATTTGGACCAGCTCGGCCAGCGGTCGTCGAAGAAATGTAAAAGCCGAAAGCAGCGGACCCCAAAGAAGTGCCGAGCGTGAAAGCTCTCGGCCAAGCCTTCTTGTTGTTCCCGCTGATGTTTATATATTTATATCTACACTATCTGCGGGTGTTTCGCCTCATCTCTGATCTACAAGTGTATGCCCTTTGTGAAGGAAAGCTTACTTTGAGTGGAGCAGGACTAAGATAATTGCAAATTTACTTTGCTTTAACACCTTTAGGAAGTGTTACTTTCATGTTGAAACGACTTTGAAAGAGTATTTGAAATTTGGGGCACACTTTTCGCGGCACAGCCGCTGTTGATGTAAACATTACTCATTCGAGTAATGCGCTTGTGCTTAGTTGATTTTCGATGCGCTTTTTGCACATTGCTAGACTTTTTCTCGCTCGCCTTTTTGTTGTATCAGTATGCTGGAATTTTTCTTCATTTCATGTGCTGTTGCTGTTGCTGTTGTTGTTGCTGCTGCTGCTTCTGCGTAGCTATGGTGGGTATAATTTTATTCAATAGAATTTATGCTTTTTTATGGTCAAGCTGGCGGAGCGTCATGCGCGGAAACCTCATCGCTAACGGTGGTTTATGACCACTTTAAGGTTTTGTGCATAATTGTTTAGCTTGAGTCGTTCGTTGCTCTGGCTCCATGGCTCTACGGCTCTTTGGCTCCTTGGCTGCTTGGCTGTTTGGCGGTTTGATGTACGTACGGCGGCAGAAAGAAGCCCATTTAAATGCAATCAATCAATGACTTACGGCTAATTATCCGCTGCAATTTAATAGAAATGCGAAAACACGTCATTAGCGCCGCCACTAATGAGGCAACATCGGTTTACGACGTGTTTACTTTGTCGCCCGGCTTCCACTTCCACTTCAACGTCCACTTGAAGTTCAAACTTCGAACTCGGCAATGGTGCAAAGTGCATCGAATTGCAGTCGATCGCATAATTGCCTGCTTGCATCAGTGAAATCAAAGATTAGGCATCGCGAATTGCCACAAACTTAATTAATAATTGACACCACGATTGCCCAATGGCTTAATTTCTTAATGGATTTCCTAATGCCTAACCCACAAATCCGAATTGGGAGAAACCTAAAAATGGTCGCAATGCCACCAACTACATAGTATTTAAAGTTCAACTGAACTACAAAAGGCATATTATTTGAATTGTCTTCTAAGTGAAGAGCAATATCAAGATTTTGCATTTAAGAATACAACACAGAAAAGGAGACACATTTCATTAAAATAGCAAACTAACCTGATGGCCGCCGACTGGTGGTTGGCCAGCATGCGCATGCTGCCCCCGAATCGGTGCGGCTGCAGCTGATTCTGGTGCGGATCGAGGTCGGTATCGGGCGGATAGCCGCCGGCCAGGTTCCTGCTGATCTGGCTGATCTGGCTGATGCGGCTCATCCGGCTGGCGTGCGAACCGCGCTCCGAGTTGCACTTGGAGCCGCAGAGCGAGTTCTCGCAGAAGCGACAGCACTTGTTGTAGCTGAAGGTGGAGGTGCAGAGCGTGCAGAACGAGTCCAGCTGCGATTCCGCCTGGTCGTCCTCCAGTTCGGCGTCCTCGTTGACAGACGGCTCCATCAGTTCGAGGCCGTGATGGCCATGGTGGCCATGCTGTCGGCGCAATTTGAGGGTTTGCGTGTGACTGCTGTGATCCTCGTCGGAGCAAAAGTGATAGGGTTCGCTCTCCGTGTCCTCCTCCTCGCCCAAACTGCTGCCGGCACTGCCCTCCGGTCGTCCCGATCCCGGCGAGATGCCGAAGCTGCTCAGCGGACACGATGGATAGCGGGCGAGCGGAAAGGGTCGCACATTGTACTTGCTGGCCATCGACAGGTTCTCATTGAAGTAGATCACATTGGGCGACTGCATCTGACCAGGACCAGCCCGCTCCCGCTCGCGATCCCGCTCCCGATCCCTGTCCAGTTCCCGATCTCTGCTGATGCTGAGATCGTGGTACTTGCGCAGAAATGCCGCATTGCAATCGGCGGCCGTGTATTCGTGCAGTTTCTTCGGTTTTTGGGCGGGCGGCGCGTGGGTTTGCTGATTGTTCGACTTGATGTGATGCGAATTGTGGCTGTTGTTCGTGTTGCTGCTGCTGCCGTTGCTGCCGCTGTTGTTGCTGTTGTTGTTGTTGTTGCTGCTGCTGATGTTGCTGCTGTTGCCATTACTGTTGCCGCCGGAGCGCAGCAGATCGAAGAGGCGCTGCTTGAGGTCGCGCATGGCCACATGGGGTTCTGCAAAGTAAATGCGAAATAGAATTAATAATTCAGATAATCCTTGATTATAGTCGAGCAATTTTTGCATGCAAACTGCACATTCAAAGAGTGCCTTTTGTTTCAATTGTAACGAGAAAAAAATAACACATGCATTAAGGATACACACTTTAAATTTGAAATCTAAAAGATCAACTTGATAATTCAAAGTTAAGTGACCGCTACAGTTTTGGCTGCAAGTGCGAGTTGGTTCGAGTCGCGGCTAAGCCGTTTGAGAGCCATTGTGGCTGGCCACTTGCTGGAACCTGCAATGTTTTCGCAGCAACAACCAACGGTCACACTGGCCAACATAAAATAATAAATTGCACGCAAAATAAGTGGAGAGCAATAGTCTGTGATCGAATTAGCCCAATTTAAGCAGGTAAGTCGAGACAAATAGGTGACCAACAGCATGCCAACCTAATGCACCACTTATCTGCAGCGCAAACCAGCCGAAGGAGCCAAGGATGAGCAGCCAGCGCGGCAACGTAAGTCGCACACGTGCGCAGAAGCACAAAAATCGTCATGTTTTCAAAAACGATCTGCACGACAAGACGCCGCAGCAATTGCGCTTGAATGCGATGCACGTGTCCACGGTGTGCCAGCGGTGCAAGGAGCAGATCGAGTGGAAGATCAAGTACAAGAAGTACAAGCCGCTGACGCAGGCCAAGATCTGCGCCCACTGCAAGGAGCGGGCGGTGAAGAAGGCCTACCATGTGGTCTGCCGGGACTGCGCCATCAAGGCGAACGCCTGCGCCAAGTGCCTGAAGAGCGCCACCGAGGTGGCCATCGAGGAGCCGCAGCCGACGCCCCGCGAGGAGCAGCAGCTGCAGTCGGAGATGGACCGGCTGGTCAAGTCGTTTTCGGAGCGCAAGCGACGCGCCTTCCTGCGCTACATGCGTAAGGGAAAGAAGCAGGAGAAGGACCCCAACGAGGAGCAGCTGGACGAGCAGCAGCTGGAGAGCCAGGAGAAGGCCAAACGGGTGGCGCACACACGCGACGAGCTGCTGGACAAGATCAAGCAGCTGAATCTCGCCGCCGATGGTGACGAGGACGAGGACGAGGATGACTCGGACTTTGATTCTGAGTTCGATTCCGAGGAGGAGGAAGACGACGGCGACGACGACGACAGCGACAGCGAGGAGGAGCCACAGAAACCTGCCACCAAAGCGAAATAAACCTTACATTTTATTCCTTATTTGTCAATTAGTACTAATTAGTTTAGCTACTTGGTAGAGCAGGATAATGTGCACCTGGAGCACCGATGCCAGGCCAAACGTAGCTGACTACCAGCACTCCAAAGCGAAGCTTGTTAAACGGATGGGCACAGGAGGAAGGTATCCTGCCCAAGTTACGATTTCGTGGAGTCTAAAGTTGGCGAGAGGCAACGCGAAGCGGTTGAAGAGCAGCCCACCAGGCTAAATAAAACAATTTGTATCAAAACTTCCACTTTGTTAAACCTTGTGGCAGATGGAATAATCCCAATAAGACTCGGAATAGCTGGTAGAATGTCGGTTACTGCTGAATTGGGTGAGTATACATCGAACAAGAGGACCAACTGCTGACAGCCAGGAAATCCAATGGAGAGTATGTCCAATAGCTCTGTTTACCTCCACCTCCTGGTTGGCAAAGTGGAGGGGATACCAAGCTTGCTTAATTTCAATATCTTTGAAATGCCTTCAAAAGCTTTAACTGATTTAACTCTTCATCAAATAAAGCTTTTATATTGTATACCACATACAAGGGTAGAGAAATGTAATAAGTTATCAACTTTCCACTGTTACGTTATATTTTTAAAAATCCCTTATTTGCCAGGTTTGATAGTTGCCCTATGTCCAGTGGATCATCTGGCTACCGAGCAGCCAGGATTTACAGATAGAAGAAGGGGAAAGTACGAGTGGAAGATACGTAGGGAACAGTATCCATGCAGTTGCATGCAGATATGAAGTTTTAACACTGCGAGACTATTTCGCGTAGAAACGGACGGACGGACAAATAAATATACGGACATGGCATCGACATCGACTTGGATCAAGAATATACATATATAGAATGTGCCCTTCTATATTTGTATACAAATTTGTTGGTAGCACACGTTCTTCTGCCTTTTATTGGATATTGTGTAAATAGGTATCGTCCATGGCATACGTATTTTTAATACTCCGCATTTCGATATCTAGCTCATTGTGAATGCTTCTGGTTGGTGGCCAACTGGGAGACGAAGTGTACGGCGGCATCTCGGTGGCATTGATGTCCATATAGGAGGTCGGGGTCAATCTCGGTGTCGGCCGCATCATCTGCAACGGGTTGGCCACGGCTTGGATATGGAAACCCATCGCCAATTTGGCTTCCATGCAGGCCGCATCCATGGGTACGGGGATTTGGTCAGTCATAATGGCGGTTACCTCTGCAGCCATGTCATCGAAGTCCGGGAACATTTCTCCGTAGTTCATACTGTTACAAACTTGAATTAGGCAGTCGAAAATGCAAGGAAAATTATTTAAAATCGCAGCTAAGAATTCGCATCCGCCAGTCGTCAATACAAATTTAAAATGGTGCGAACTGCATTTGCTGCAACTGGCAACGCTGCACAGAAAAATGCCGTTTCCTGTTTCAAATTATCCAGCACTAGGCCCAGGTGCGATAGAGAGGGACGACGATATTGTGCCAACAGCGGCCATTCTAAATTATCTATCGACTCACACATGCAGCGACTCTATTGCAATTCATTAACGTGTGTATGTGTAAAAATACGAAGTTTTCATATTTTTACGAAACAATACAGTGTGTTCAAAAATATTTGAACAGCCAAGCAAGTCACATATTCACTTCATTTAAGCCTTATGCATACATATGTGGAGGTTGGCATCAATAGAAAGAGCGTTTCAATGCCGTCAGAATGAAATAAAACTTGTAGGAAAATATTGTATGAGAAGGAGGGAAATTGTCTAAAATATGTATTTAATTAGTAGATAATTTTAAGGGCTGTCAAAAGGCTGTCAGAGTCATAGAAAGAAAACATTCAAAGTAAATAAATCATATCGAAGCCAGCAAAAGGTTCAAAAGCTTTTTTTTTATCTTACTTATTTTACTTTTTTTGGTCACACTGCCAGCCGGACCGATGTGCAAAATCACAACCTGTTATCGACCCGCAACAGGGTCCGATAACTTATCACAGTATTGCGAAGATACAGCTGATCGAAAACAGAATAAAGTTGTAAAAGCGCATAGAGATTGGAAAAAGTCGAATGGCGGACAGTGAAAAAGCGGTGAATCGTGGCCGTCGCCACGGCAGGAAGAAGGCACCTACAGTGCCGGGACAAACAGGAAAACCTGTATTGGTGGTCAATGGCCGGGAAACCGGCGGAGCGAAGGGCACTGGCAAACCAAAGACAGGACCGGGTGGGGACTCGAAAGCCGCCGGTGGCGAAAAGCTGAGGCCCGAGGACGAGAAGTGGCTGCGCCAGCTGGTCAGCGACTTCTTGCAGAGCCGCGAGACGGAGCAGCAGCTCCCTGGACTTACCAAGGCCCAGCGCAGCCACGTGCACCGATTCGCCCAGGCTCGAGGAATAAAGACAGTAAGCAAGGGTCCAGAGAACGACCGCGTCCTCTTCATAAGTCGGCCGCAGTCGAAAAGCCTACAGCACAACTTCCTAAACAACGCAAGGCTGCACATTTGTTCCACGCTTGTGAACGTTTTGGACGAAATGGCCGACGATGTGGAACGAAGATTGAAAATGTTCCCTGAAGGCGGCCGGCGCAACAATCAGCTGCATCAGGATCAGCGGCGTCCTTCCAACTTCGGCATGGTCGGGCAGAGGCTCATCCCGCCGCCGCAGAGCAACTGGAACAGGAATATTCAGCACGAGCGCCAGAGCCTGCCCATCTACAAGCAGCGCGAGAACATCCTCAGGGTGCTGCAGCACGAGCAGGTGACCAAATGCTTCCTTCTGTTATTAATTACCTTAGGCCAATTTCTCTTGATAATAAGTTAGTCTATGCCTCTTGCTACAAACATCGAATTTCTACTAATACTTAATGTTCCGCCTGCAGGTTTTGATCATTAAAGGAGCCACCGGCTCCGGCAAGTCCACCCAACTTCCACAGTACATCCTCGAGTGGGCCGCCGAGCATCGTGCACCAGTCAGGATCGTGGTAAGTCAGCCCCGCCGCATAGCAGCTATCAGTGTTTCGGAGCGAATTTCTAAGGAACGCGGCGAGGCGGTGGGCAGCACAGTGGGCTATCAGATTCGCATGAATAGTGAGTAGCAGTTGCCCGCGAAGTACTTATAACTATACACTATATTCCACCTCTGCCAGGACAATGCAGCAGCCAAACGGTTCTAACGCTCACCACCAGCGGTTGCCTTTTGAGAGTTCTTGCCATAGATAACGAGTCCTTCTTTAAAAATACCACCCACCTAATCATCGATGAAGTCCACGAGCGTGATTTGGACACAGACTTCCTGTTGCTGGCCACCAAGCTGGAGCTGCAAAAGAATCCGCACCTCCGTCTTGTGCTTATGTCGGCCACCATGGATCTTAAAGCATTGTCCAACTATTTTGGTGGGGCCAGTGTGATGGATGTGGAGGGGCGCAGCTTCGGGGTGTCGATCTATCATCTGGAGGATATTCTCAGTAATACTGGCTACATGCATCCGAGAATGGAGCATTTCATGGGCAAGCCGACAGGCGAAGAAACTCCTAGCGAACTATTAGCCGCCTATTATGGTGGTCGCACAATCATAGATCCGGATATCGACAATGATTTGATCGTTTCGCTATTGGAATTATTACTGCGCCAAGGTGACACTGGAGCGGTGATTGTCTATCTGCCAGGCTATAGCGACATGACCTCGCTGCTGGACCGCTTGGAATCGTCTCTGCCGCGGAACGAGATCAAGATCATGTTGCTGCACAGCCAGGTGGACAACAACGAGCAACGCAAGACCTTTCGCGTTTATCCTGGTGTGCGTTTAAAGATTATTCTTAGTACCAACATAGGACAAACTTCGATCACCATTCCGGATCTGCTCTATGTCATAGACACGGGCCGCGCCAAAATGAAGACCTATGACCCCACCACAGATGCATCGCAGTTAACCAGCACGTGGATCTCGCAGGCGGACGCCAAACAGCGGGCGGGAAGAGCTGGACGCTTATGCCATGGTAATTGCTATCGGCTGTATGACAGCTACCGCCTGGACAGGATGGATCTGTACACCGTCCCAGAGATCATGAGGCGTACCTTGGACGAGATATGTCTCCTGACCAAGGTGGCAGCTCCAGACAAGAAAATAGAAAATTTTCTAGCTCTGGCTTTGGATCCTCCACAAAAGGATGCCGTAATGCAGTCCTGTTCCAGACTGAAACTATTGACCATGCTCGACGAACGGGACGAGATCACCCCGCTGGGACGCATCATTGTCGAACTGCCTGTAGGCCTTCAATTTGGCAAGTGCCTGATGTATTCCATTTACTTGCGCTGCCTGGATAGCATGCTCATAATTGCAGCCTACCACTCCGTGAGGGATCCCTATGTTCTAAGTACGGAGCGCGGCAAGAAATCAGGGCAGCAGAACAGCAGAATTTATTTCACTGGCGACAGGACGAGTGATTCGCTGGCGGCCATTAAACTCTACGAGGAGTTTACCAGCTTGAAGCGCATGAACATCGGCGACTTTTGCGAGCGCCATTTTGTTTGCCGTAACGCGATGGAGATGTTCGTCTCGGCGGTGAGCACTCTACGCGACACCGTGTACCGTATCTTCCGCTTTAACGAGGTAAGTGCTCGCTTGGCCTCGTCCTTCAGCAAGGATACGAACATGATCCGCCTGGCTCTGACTGCAGGACTGTATCCGAAGCTGGCATACATGGACCGCGAGAACAAAAACCAGCTGGTGGCTGAAGGAGATCCATTTGTTCAGGTTTCGAGAACCTCTTGCCTTTTGGGCAGAAGAAAGCAAAAGAAGTTGGCCAGCGAGTGGATCTTGTTCGTTGAGAAGACCCGTCTTTCGGACCACATGTCCTCACTGGAGCATACCACTCTGGTGAGCAGCTTGATGGTGGCTCTGGTGGGCGGAAAGCAGTTTATAACCGAGCCCGTGCCTCATGAGTCCGAGGTGCTTCTGTGCCTGGACTCCTGGATCCGTCTGAAATGCCCAGCCGACTTTGGATGCCAGCTCCATAAAGTACGAATGCTAATGGAGCGCGAGTTCGCAGTATTGGTGGAGACACGGAAGCCAAGTCTAATGGCCGATTTCACAGGGCCGGAAACAGTTCAGCGATTGTTGAATGCGGATGTGGCCTCGACCAGTCTGGCCGAGGGCAAAGGCGTCCTGGACAAAGGCAACTGTGATACGACCACTGAATTCTAAGCTTAAAATATAAGTTATGAAAGGCATATACTTAGGAACTACTCACAGTATTTGCGACCCGTATAAGTAATTCAAGTTCATGATCATAGACCTAAATGCTGTGCGATTCATAAGCACAAAGAGGCAAGCGAATATTTCCACTTTTCCGTATTTTTGTACAACTCAAAAGACTCCACTGTAGTTATTACATATTAGGGTACATATAAGGTAGCAAACACGATATCTTAACTAGATTCCTTACATGTTGTGATACAAGGAGTCGCACAAGCGGCTTTCTCTAGCTGTTGTAACCAATGATACAAGCATTCGAATATATTACGAGTTCTTTGCACAATATTCCCTGAAATGTGTGAAAACTTCTCTTTAAACCAATATTAGCGATTAAGGAGCACCTGGGAAAGTAAAAACAATAGAGAACGCTACAGATACCCGATACTCAGCTAGAAACTGGCAAGAAATCCAATGAAATCAAAACATTTTTGAAAATTGTACGCGTGACAGCTGTTGGCGGCTTGTTTCCGCAAGAAATCGATAGAAACTGGCAAACAAATAACAAAATGTATTATTTATCCATTGATGTAACTATCTTAAGCGCTGAGTCGCACCGCACTGTAGCCACACTGGAACACAGGGAATTAAAAATGTAAGCCAAAAATATGGCTTTGGAGACTGTAATTGCGGGGTGAAAATATGTGGGCCACAAGTGCCACGAGATGCCAGGGAGATCGTAGCTCGAGGCGGAGTCGGAGTCGGAGTCGGTGTCGGTGTCAGCGAGCCCAGTTGGTGGGCGTGGCTGTTCCCTGCGGTGCATTGGGCCATGGCAGCCGTGGAGCTGACGTTTATGCTCCACCTGCCCCACCTGCGCCACCTGCCTCCCACTGCCCATTCAGGCGCAAACAAGAGCGGGCAAATGGAGAAAAAAAACAGAGTTAATTGCACAGACGACGCAGTCAATAAACTTGAAGTCGAGCTTGTCGCTGGTGGAGCAACAATGGCCACAGAGACACCGAAGCAACTGCAACAAAAGACAGCAGCTTACTCACAAAGAAAGTGAAATTAATTTGCCATTTCTCGCTCGGCTGTGGCTCTTTGAGCGAAAAGCCTTTGAAAACTGGGAGAGAGCATGGCCAATCTTCACGGTCGGCCCTACAAATTCGATGTTTTGTGCTGCATATACTCGTATGTATAATATATAATATATAATATAAATTACATGTCGCTTCCAAAGAATGTATGAAAATATTGTGGAAAACAACACACAGCACTTGGAAAGACATTTAAAGTAACCACGTAAAATGTATTTATGTCTAAGGCAAATGAGCATTACTTTTAAATAACATGAATGTCAAACAAAATGTTTTTCCTCTGCGTTTGAGTTTAAAAAGGCCCTTAAACCATTTTTGATAAACAAATTTTTATGAATCTTATGAAGATCAAAGTTTTTTTGTGGAGAAACAATTTGTACTTTAAACTATATTAAGGTTTAAATAAAAAATGAAATGTAAAATATTTTTGATGTGCATTCCACTACTGATCTGAGTAATAAAGTTTGATTAGATGTTTGGAGCTCTGTTTGGATTCTCTGCCGCTTGAATTGACCCAATTGAACTGCACCGCAAAGTGGCCATCCAGTAATTCGCAACTCATCAGTGGGAATTGTGGGAAATCACAGTGGCCCAACCTCGAATTTTCTACAATTTGCACAGAGAGAATTCCGCCAGAAGAGTTGATGTTGATGTGGATGAGAAATGGGGGCCACCAAGCAGCAAGGTGAGATCAATTTCCCAGATGACTCCTCCATTGCGGCTCCATTGTGGCTGCCATCGAACTCTGGCGAGGATGAGGTGGCAGTGTCGGTTGACTGCCAAATGAATGGCAATCGCCAATTGGCATCAGGCATCTGCTCTCGAAATCAAGTGAATTCAAATGGCCTGCACTAAAGTGCGCAGGCAGCGCTAATGGGTCCATGGGGAAGCGGCTGGTTGAACGGACTCGCCGTCGCCATCAACTCCGATTTAAATTGGACGCGGATCGGATCCCCGTTGCCAACCAGCTCGGCAGGTGTCTCTTTGTCTTTGTCATTGGTTGCGGACAGGAAGGCGGAGATTATCGAACGGAATCGGAATCGATGATTCCACAATATTATATTTTTCATCCATAACAGAGCTTCGCTTCCAAAGCGAACTGGCTTACAATTTAATTATAAAAAGTAACAAAATAGGTCAAAAGCAATCAATTTTAACATTTAATTTCAATGAAAACTGTTTAAAAGCTAAATAAACTGCTTCTTTGTCAGCAGTCTGAACGTATAACACATGCAATCAATTTAATCTGGTTTTTGCCATATGCATGTAAAACACATCAATTGAAGTGCATCTTTAGTAAACGTGTCTTTCCATCACCACCCAACGGAGGATTGAGCCAAAGCCATTTCATCGCAAACTCCGCTAACAGATGGTAACCGAACCCACTGGCGCAGTTGCTCGATGATGTGAGAGCTAATGACGGTCCCTCGACTGATTGATGATAGGTTGAAGGTTTTTGTTTTGGGGGGCTGCCAGTTACAGTTACATAATTATTATTAAACAGCAAATTGATTTCGGCAGAAGTTGCCGCCAGATGTGTGCTGCTTCCAATGCGCCATGCTCCAAGTTCCATGCTCCATGCTCCACGATGAACCCATGGCCCAGGGCTCCCAGAGATGACATCATCTCACATAATCGCACATCTGCAATAATCCCAGACATTTGATTTGTGCAGCACGGAATGCATTTCGGTAATTCCAGATTCCAAATTCCAAATTCAAAATTCCGAATTCCAAGCGGGTGGTATTATCATGAATATGTATGTACATACGAGTATAGCATGTGTATGGTACATACATATGGATTGGAGGGATTGGACTGCATCGAGCTGGATGGGATTGGATCGAAGGCAAGGGCCCGAGATCACGCCAGTGAAAGTCTGCCCCCTTTAGCGGGGTCAAATCAATCAGGCTGGGCGGTTACTTGGGGCACTGTCTATTCGTCTGGGTGGCACTACGAAATCCCCGCCAGATGACCCCGAATATTTGGGGATTTGCTCGAGACCGACACCTTTCCAAACACAACGCCTAATTATGTCATTAAAACGCCTGGCTTTTGTGTGCGCTTTTGGCGTCGATTTGTGAGAAGCTGACCAGAAATTTCAATTTTCATAAAAATAATTATGCTGCCATCTATGTCTCAATAATAATTTTGGCTCTCTCACAGTAAAATTTGCTTTTGCTATGAAATAATAATAGCATATGCAAGAAGTATCATATGCATTAGAAATTGATCAGGTATCAAGGCAATATCTTATTATTTGAATTTCGGGTAATGATTTCGGGTAATGATTAAAAAATGAATGTTTATAAAACTGCCATATTGTTTATTTTCAAAGTTCTAGTAAATGTATTGAAATTTGTAACAAAATGCATTTTATTAGGCGTTGAGAAAAAGAGGGGAGTTTGCTGGGCATATCGGCGACCCATGACGAACTTTAGCTGCGGTAAAAGTGAAGTCATGTGCGAGTCTTTGGGGGCACCGAAAAGTAAAAGCCAAAACGAGAGTGAAGTGATGGCAAAACAAGCCGCGATCGTGATTCGCATTTGGCCACGGCCAACAGCAACTGGCAACATGAATGGCCAGCAACTGGAGCCACCGGCAGCACACAGCCACAACATCAGGAGCCGGAAATCTGGTCAGGTTGTGACCCCCGGAAGCCGGTGCCACAATCAATCAATATCGCCGGCTATCATTTATTTATGCACGACTCGAATATGGTGTAACGTCTGCCTTTTGTTTCGTTTGTCACAACAACCTAATGACGGGCCGAATAATTTATTTTCCTTTTTTCGCTCATTATGGCGCGGATCATCGCAAATATTTGGCAGTTCCCGAAGTCTGATAATCCGTGGCTCAAATCTCTGTTTATGTAAGTCGAAGCGAGAAATTGCCAAAGCAGTGCAGCAATGGATGGCCGGAGGCGTGGCAACAACGGCGCCAATCAGTGGCAACAACAGCGATAACACAGCAACATCAGCAACATCAGCAACTCGGCAACAACAGCAACAACAGCAACATCGCAATGCCAGACACTCTCCAATGGAGCAGCAACACCTGGACAACAGCAATAGCCTGCTCATCTACACTCAGGCAAAAATGTATGTTTCTAACTCACTAATACGATGTCCATGTTTGAAAATATTATTTATATTGAAATGATTGCAATAGTCTATTTTCAAATGTTTTTCAGTCCAAAATTGAAATCACAAGCTGTACACAAACTTAAAACTTTATGCCAGGCAAATAATGCGCTCATTTTTGCGAGTGTACATAAGCAACATGAAGCAAACGCATAACAGCAACACGCTCGAGCATCCACTTGTTGCATAGTCCGATGTCAAAAGCCTCTGCTTTGGTCAAGCGCCAATTGAGATGTGACAGGTTGTCTGGTCAAGATCTGCGACTACCTGCCACTTCACTTGAATCCGCTTCAGTCCTCGCCTGCCCCCCAGCCAGGGAAAAGGTCATCGGATTCCGGGGCACGAAGAAAAGCTGGATTAGTCCCAGGCACGAATTGCCTGTCATGATTACGCGAAGCTATCCATGATATATAGCCCCTTTAATCTCTTAAGTTTTAATTTACCCTGTCTGCTTATACAATGGCCTTTGCGCATTTCTTTCGGATTTTTCCAATTTCACAGTGTACTCAGCAAAAATAAGCGGAATACAGGATAACTATGGAATTATGGTAGGCATTAACCTAAAAGGCAGATTTCAAGACTATTAAGGCGGAAAACAAAGAAAAGTTCAAATTAACTGGATACATGATATATATTATATGATAAAATTCGAACTTTTGCAACACGATTTATGGTGAAAGATTAATATTGAAATATATTCGTTGAAGCTGAAACCGATAATTTCATTTTCCCACAAGCAATGCATATAGAGCTTAAATCGGTTTAAAACTTATTCACATCTGTCGGGGTTAATTTGATGCCCGAGCCGCTTAGGCGTCATAAAAATTGTATAATTTGTTTACATAAATTGTATAATTTCCGATAACTGTTTCCCACCTGATCTTGGGCTAATCGCCTTATGTGTGGCATCGCAATGCGTTCGAAAGTTACAGGTTTTTCGGTTCAAAAAAGGCCATTGTATTGAGTTATTGGGACGCTGGGGCTTATTTATTAACGATGGTTTCACTTTCCAGCCACACAATTACGATCGGATGAAGGCGTCGAGAAATGGGAGAGCAAGCCCCGAACAAACGAGACCCAACAAATTTGTTTATAAATGTCGCACAATATTCATTTGTTGACGCCGTCGTCATCATCGATATGTCATTGTTTGTACCGCCGTTGAGGGCACCCGAAATTTATGGGGCTTACGAGCCATTTGACTCCATTCCGCGCAAGGTGAAGGGTTGACAATGGGCCACAGAATCGAAATTGGCTGAAAGTGTAACAATGGAGCCCCGGACAAGACCAAGACTAAGCGATTCCAATTCGAAAGCGAGCAGGCGGCGCGGAAATTTATGCATAATTTCTGTGACAAATGCCACAAAACGGCGGCGAGAGAGCATGGAAAGTGTGAAAAGTGTGAAAAGTGCATTGATAATTATGATAATTGTCTGCTCAAAACTGGGAAATGATGAGTTCGGCAATAGATACAGATACAGATTCAGATGTAGATACAGATGCATTTTCACGTTGACAAAAGAGTCTAGTATTGTTGAAGTACACTGGCTAACTTTCATTCTTAGTCACTGATTTGTGGCGGTTGCCGTTTCTTATTCGTTGGCTTATTTCTCTGACTTCCACTGTTTTTGGGTTGCCTGCCTGATTATATGGTACGTGCTATTTCATTCGCCGACAGATACAAGCTACAAGATACATAGATACAAAGATGCACAACTGCCAACCGCAAGACAAGCAACGACATCCCAAGGGGAGGGCTTTGCGATGAGGTGATTAAAATCAAAGGCAATGCGAAGAGCAAAGTGCTCTACGTCCTGTCATATACTCTATATTTTTTGTGTTTAATATTTATTTTACTCAGCACCGATATGTTTTTTAATAATGTTTTAGTTCCATTAGAACAAATATATTTAATTATTTATATTTCAAATAAAATAAATAATATTGTAACGCTTTCAAAATTCGATTCGCTGCATTGAAGTATTTATTTCTATGTATATTCGCAATATGCTTTTCTTTTATTTAAATTTATAATTACGTTTATTTTACTTGTTAAAATAACCTACATTTCCAGCTGCCTAACTTCATACTGCTTATATTTTTTAGCCCCACACATGCTTCTTGATCAAGTTATTGGACTCGCCACTAAGTTAGCACCACATCAACAGCTACGACTTGATCATGGTCATGATCATGGCTGCGTCGCTGTTTTACACTATGCCAGCTGCTTCTCGAGGAGGAACCCCATCCCCATCCATCCCAATCTCCTACAGCCTCTCCACCTCCAGGTGAGTTGGCCTACCTGCCCATCTACCTGCAATTATGATCCGCTAGCTGCGGATTGCCTACGAGGCATGTCAACGCCTAGGACTGCGCTTTTGAGTTTTTAGTTGGGTGCCAATCTGCGGGAATCTGCCGGAATCCACGGCATCCACGGCATCCGCGGCATCCGCGGGATTCTGGGAAGCACTTAACGGGGGCCAATTTCCCATTGACGATGCTGGGTAAAAATAATAATAAAAGCACGATACTTATGCAAAACGAACTGGCGAGATTTGCTTTAATCACACTGCTCTGGGCAATGTGTAAAAGTGAAAATGCAGTAGCACACTGCGGTGGTGGTGCGTTTGCTCGGGTGATTGGGTGGTGCAAATTATGAAATTAGTATTATGTGAAACGGAGTTAAAAGTGTGATTAAACTGGAGCTGCAGTCAAAGTCACACACATGTGTGTGGGGCGTAAAAAGTACAAAAACTTGAAACAAAAACAACCTGCCGCATAATAAGCCGTCGCCGTCAAGACAATGAAAGTCACCTAAGTACCCACTCCACAGTAAGTGTGTGGGGCAATTAATATCATTTCAGCTTGGATGTGGATGTGGATGTGGATGTGGATATGTATGTAAATGTGGACGTGGATGCGAGACACACCGCGATGGTTTTCCGAGTGAGCAGGTCGCCAAAAATGAAAATGCCGTAGTGTTAGACCCTTCGATGCTCAGGGTTAAATGAGCCGATTGTATATATATATATAATAAAATGTATATTAAAAAAAAATATATATATAATAAATTTGGAATTTTGCTTTGACTTTGGTCATTTCCAGTAAAGCCAGCAGTAATACTCGTATACATCAAAATATCTTAGCTTAAGGCGGACCTCAAATAACTTCTGGAAAAAGTTAGCAATGAGTAAAATTAGGTAATTCCTAGAATTCCTGTTATTTCTGCCGGCTCGTAGGGCAATAAAACACCTGCTGGGCATACCCCTGCTACCCAGTTGGGGCGATAGGAACCCACGACAAGTGCAGCGACAAAAAAGCAAATAACAATTCCCGTGGCTTATTAGCAATGCCACTTAGAAGTTGGAGCAGGGAGAAAGTCATCCAGCTGAATGCACACGGAGAGGTTGAGCTGTCAACTGTACCGCCCGCCGTCCCGCACCCACTTATCCAGCCCACTCAATTTCATACTGCCATCCCGCCAACAGAAACCGCAAGCGCACTCAAGTTTGTTGCCTCAGTCTTTTGTTCTGCCACAACTCGGTGCTAATGGTGAATTGCGTAGGGAATTTCCCTAATCGCGGTTTCAGTTTCTATCGTCAATGGCAATTGCAATCGTAATCGAGGAAAATTTCTAAGCACCGCCGCGGGGCATTGGCACGAGAGCTTCTCCGATTTTTAATATATATAATTTAAGGCACACGAGGCCATAAAAAATAAAAGCCATATTAAAAATATGTGCATCTATAGTAAGTGCGCATCTCGACGTGTAAAGAAAATGCGCTGCTTCGGTAATTAATAGACCATGAACAGTTTGCTAGACGATGAAAATCTGCGCACCACTAAATCCAGCTTCATCTTGACTTTGACTAATGCGCACTTATCAAGTAAGACCCAAAAAGCAAAACTAGATAAAGATGAAAGTCTCTAAATGAGTGTCTATAATTAAGACGAGCTTGTTTATTTTTAGCTCATATGTTTATTCTAAATTTGGTGTTTTTAATGACGTGCCAACTATTTCCATTCATTTCCATTCGTGATTCATTTTTGAACCAAAGTTGCATGAATGTGCAAATATGTATGTAAATTTTGGTTTACGATTAGTGTCTGCATAGGTATTATTTAACTTTTTTAATGAACCGCATTTCTTTGCATATATTTGCAAAAATAACCTTTTGTTTTAAATTTTTTACGTTTTCCTTGGTATGTAAACTAGTATTTTGAGTTATTTAATTCCTGTTAGCATATTTTGCATTATGAACTATAAACATATTTAAAAAAACATTTTCCGTTGCCTTCCATGCATTTTACATATTTCAATTAGTATTTTATCCTTTGGCTTACCGTTAAAATTATTTAATATTCAAAACTTATGCTGTCGTCACTGTATTCCTTTTGCCAATATTCCTCAACTTTGACACAACATATTAATCTTGTTTCGACTTTTTAATTAACTTTTTCGTTAGGCCGCCAATTATGACAAATGAACAGGAAAAAAACAAACAAAAGAACACTAGTTGGCACGCACATTTAGATGGAGGTTCAAGGGGCAAGAGGATACGATAAGTTTTCCCAAATGTTGAAGAAGGGCTATTATGCACTGGGAAAATACGCGAGACGCGGTGGAAAATCGGGAGGAAAACTGCGAAGATGACGACGCGACGTCGACGATCCGACAGACACGTTTTCCAGTTACAACGTTGGCAACGGAATGAATTGGCCAAATATGCAGCGGCTTCGTTGAAGCCCGAAATTATCCCAAAGAGCGAAAGCCGGCATATCAAACAGAGAGCAGCAGCCAGAGAGCTGAGAAAATGGCCCGGAGAGAGGCTTTCTCCGGCTGAGAAGAAAAAGCGAGACTGTCTACCACTTTGAATACCCTACAACGCAGGTGATCTATGCACTAAACCACTGGCTTCTGTGCGCCGTTCCGCGCATAAATTTCCATTGCTTATGGCCAGCTCTAATATTTTCCAGCCAAGTTGTCCCATTGGAGATAATGCTGTGCAGACAGGTGCACTCCATCATCGGCTACTTACATTTCCACTGCTTTTTACTGGTTCAATCCATTTGATAAGCAAGTAATCGCTTACTTTATACGACATCAGCCCAGTTTTAATAATGGAAAAATATTGTTTAGCAATAATAAGTGAAATGTTCACGATTAGGATGAATTAGGTTATTTATGTTTATGTTTATTATATATTTTTATAATTAATACACAAGTGGTAGTAGATCAGAATTTTTTGTTGTTGTCATTAATTTAAATTAAATAATATAAAAGTTAAATGTATTAAAAGGTAATTTGGATAGGATTATCGCTACTGATTATTTAACGTAATTTGCTTGCATAACAAATCACTTATTACAGCCAGAAAACCCTTCACGGATTTTCTAAAAGGCACTGGGTCATTCGCGGTGACTCGGCACAGATGAAATACAAATTACTGTAGGATGCCAAAATATTTGACTTCCCCATTTCAAATATTTCCCATTCACAGCATTTTTGCTCGGCAAGATTTCCACTTTATTTCTGTCAAGTTGATGTGTTGCATTGCTGCATTTTCGCTTGCATAACCAACAATTTGTTCACTTTCAACAAACAAAAAAAAAATAAAACAAAACTAAACCAAAAACAAAGGTTCATGGAGGAGCCGCCAGGAGTGGGTGAAGCGCCCACGCAGCGACATGGGCATAAACTGGACGCACTGCGTCCACTTTTCGGGCTTTTAAGACACCTGGCATGGTTGCGATTGGGCAATCGGAAGCCCGCAGGCTGATTGCCGCCATGCAATTAACTTGTGATCTTTAATTAAAGCCAAGGAAAACAAAGCGAAAAGCAGTTTTCGAAGAGCTATAGATAAAGATGATTTCAGAGGGCCAGAGAATCTAATGATTGAGCGGGGCAAATTGATGTTTTGGTTTATGAAAATTAAAATTGATTTTTTTGTATATCTTGCTTAATTGTTTGTTGTTTTCTTTGGCAGATCATTAGCCAAAGAAGATCCATAGGACTTGGACTATAAATTCAAGTGTTTCTTGGTCCAAAGGCATCATAAACCATTGGATCTTAGCTTCGATCAGAATCTTAAATCTAATAAACTCAACTTCCAGAATGAAGGTAAGAAATCGCTGAGCGCTAAGGATCTTCCATAGTTAATCTCGTTTATGTCACCTTTCCAGGTCTTTGTGTGCTTCTTGGCTTCCCTGGCTCTGGTCAACGCCGGTGGCATCCGCGGTGGTGCAGGAGGCGGCTATCTGCCTGGTGGAGGACGCGGTGGTGGCGGCGGAGGATTCGGTGGCCGCTCGGCCATTGGATCTGGCCTGGTTTCCCATGTCTCGCAGTCGCTGGGCAACACTAAGGTCCACATTGCCGGTGCTTCCGCTGGCGGTGCTGGTGCCTACGGAGGTGGTGGCTATGGCGGTGGTGCTGCCTCATACGGCGGTGGTGCTGGCTCATACGGCGGTGGAGCTGGTGCTGCCTATGGCGGTGGTGCTGGAGCTTCTTACGGCGGTGGTGCAGCCTCTTATGGCGGTGGACGCGGAGCTGGTGGCTGGCAGGGAGCTGGAGCTGGTCGTGGTGGTGCTGGATTTGGTCGTGGTGGAGCAGGAGGCTGGCAGGGTGGTGCCGGAGGAGCTGGAGCTGGCAGCGCCTGGGGCAACCCCGCTGAGTTCGATTACACTGTCAACCACGCTTCCGGTGGCGCTGGAGGTGCAGGTGGCGCCTACGGTGGTGCTGCTGGTGCTTACGGTGGTGCTGGTGGTGCCTACGGTGGTGGCTCCCGCGGCGGTGCTGGCTGGTGGAACGATTAAGTAATGACATCTGTTCTATCTGTAAACGAATCTGAATCCGACCAATAAAGTTTTAACATAAAAAGAAGTTTGACTTTGATTTTAAAATGTACTCTCGGTGGTTGCAAACTTCGCTAAGCTTTAGTGCCCGAAACTTTTTTGGACGATCACAAGCAAGCAGATTTGGCAAGACTTAATAATATGTGCGAAATTAAACTCTAATTTAATTTGATCGCAATCGGTGTATCCAACATCGAAATCGGTCTTGAATTGGTAATATTATGGTTCGAAATCAGTTTGGGGTTACTTTTGTGTATGCCAATAGCCAGAAAATAGCTTACATAATAAATACGTATTTAAATGCTTGATTGGAATGCCTAACAATAGATACTGGAATCAAAAAGAGTTGCAGATACGAAATCTTTTAAAAATAACTTTGATTTTTTACAGTACACAAACTACAGCTTTTCGCATAGAAACTTTACACATCATGAGCACTAGATGGCGCTGAGCCAAAGTTCGTTGCCTAAGTCTTTCATCTGCTGGACCGATGAAACCCGTTTACAACTGTGCTCTGTACGCCCTGCCCATACAATGGATGGGTGAAGTTCAAGGTCATTTCCAGCCATTGCCACCGAAAGCGAAAGTTAATTACGGAAAAAAGCTATGGAAAGAGGGACAACTTTATAGGATCTGCAGTGAGTGTTAAACGACTATTCCTTTTGAGGTCGTGGCGGGGAACAACTAAAGGTGTTAATGACAATCCTTGACACCAGCCCATAAAACATAAACTTAATTCAAGTGTGTGAAGTTTAACATGAAGTTAAACAGTTTATTGGCTGTCATTGATTTATATGAAAATAAGTTTCTTTGCTTTTCAGTTCTCCTTTTTTTGTGTATTTTGTTTTGTTTTACTTCCGTTGGTAATCGTAGTTTGGCTTTGAATCCGCCGATTTTCTTTGTCTGCGCCATTGTCTTTGATTCGATGATCATGAAGTTGCGGCGTCGACCAGTCTCGACTGTGTTCCATGTGCCATGTGCGTTCTCGGCCTTTTGGTTTTCGGTTACCAGGGAGCCTTGGGCAAACGCATTACGATTCGCATGTTTGTTTATAAACAAATCTATTATTTACAGCGATCTAGACAAATTATGCTTGCGGGTGTGGTAACCTGTTTTCGTTTTTGCATTTATTCATCTGGTTTTCTGTATTTAAAAAGGTCGTGATGCACATTTGAAAAATTAACACGGCGGTATGTGTTTGATTTTAAAATGTGTTTGAAACTTTGTCGTCTTGGGCATTTTATCTTTTTTTTTACCAATTACGTGTACTTCCTATATGGAGCTTACGAACTAAGCAAGTAATTAATTACCTATATTTTGTTGACTTTTAGAAGACATTACAGCTTATGTTGTTGCTTCTAACTTATAATAAGGGGGATGATAACATCACGGCATTAACGATCCACCATTCCTAAGCCGATTTTAGTGATTGATGGAAAAATGCAATCGATTAACTTGCAATTAGCTATCGATGTTTTACGACCACATCGCCGATGATCTAGCAAAGCAGTATAATTAACTTATATTTATATGAGCCTGCCTGCCATCAATTAGCCTTTTGCATATGTACGAGATCTCAGCTCCGAGATGATAAAATTATATATGTGGAAAAAATGTATAGAAGTCAGAGATGTGCGATGTATATTTATGTGTCTGCTGGATTCCCATAAAATATCACATGCATTGGCATCGGCAATTTTCTATGCAAGCTTGCAAATTCGTATTTGGAATTAAATTAATGCCGCAACAATATTAGTTATTATCATTACACATTACCAACTTATTTATGAGTGTCATCAATTTAAGCCTTAATGTTAATGTTAAGCCCTCCCTGCTGCGATGACAATGACTCAATCAAAAGTTATCCTCAAAACATCATCAAAAACGTTCACTTTTTGGTCGGGGCTTTGATTTCGGTTTCGGCTTGTATTCATATTTTCCTTTGTGTTTACTATTGCACTGGTAATTTCATTTGGGTACTTAACTCGTAATTAAATATGTTAATTCTGTTGTTTTTTAATGGAAGCCTTCAGCCGTCCAAAGCCAAAGCGATGGGAAATAGTTTAGTATAGATGCCATTGTAAAGGAGATATACGTATAGATACAACGCCATATTCGCATCTTGACTTAACAACATGATGGACAGTAAGATTAGTGGTGGGATCTAGGCGATAATCAGAATACATCTGATCTCAATGGGTTAATGAGCAAACCAGAAACGCGCCCCAGAAATCGTAATAAGGCAATATGCATATTTTAAGAAACTAGTAAAGACAGCGTTTTACTTTTTACAAAAAACGTATTCGTTTTCTTAATTAAGAGTTAGGCTAAAGTGGTCCTGAAATCAAATATCTCTTGAGCAATTTAACTAAGCACAGAAAATGTTTGTTTAAATAAATTGATAGTTGATTTGAAAGTCCATTTCGTGACGAGATCTTTTATGATTGATAATTAATAAAGTCAGTAAGTAGGTAATGAGGAAATTCAATTAAAATCCACGTTTCCTAGCTTCTGATCTTTCAAGTGACCATCAAACTCAGTAGCGCACTTTGTAGCCTCAGAATGGCTACTTGTACACTTGCTAGGCCAACATGTATTCCACTTAATTGATAAGTGACCCATCGAATGATGTCGATCTGTCGTCCGATCGCGAGCTTACAGCATGAGGTATAATCGAATAAGACGATTATAAATATTCATACCACAAGAACGGGTATGTAAATGCCAGACACTCAAACAAACTTAAAGAATAAAACTATCTTCCTTTCTGTGCAAAACTCATATTTTTTCCCGATTTCTGAGGCGTGTGCTTGGAGGAGTGCATTGAACCCTTGGACTTGTGGGAGAGTTCTCTCAGGTGTGTTTATCTTTCGGGTTAGTACCAACAACTAGAGGGCCAGCTAAAATTCCCAGGCAATCGGCCATATCCGCCCAGCCACTATGCAAATATATGCCAAACTGAAGCATAGAAATAGAATCTCCGAACCGGTTCTATGTATAAATAAGCGATGATGTGGGCTAGGGTATGTGTATTGACAATACAATACAGACTTGAATAGGCCTCCGGGGGACGAGTTAATAAAAGTTCTTGGCCAAAGCAGGAAGATGCCTTAGTTTTCCCACTTCAACCTGAACCTTGGGCAGAACTCACGAGTTAGCCATTCATCAGTTTGACACTTCGGCTGCTTCTGCCGTCTGCTTTTGGCCAACTGCTTTCTGCTGGCTAACTGACAAAACATTGATATAAATGTTGATTGTCGATCCATTGTTGCCCACTGCCGGCCGCGGTGATTAAATGTCGATAATTTGTTTGACTTTCAGCGATCTGCACAGTGGTTTATCACTGGTCAATCTAAGTTTTTTGAACTAGCATTTGCAAGAAGAATAAAGTTAGCTCATAGAAAATTTAAAGAAAAAAAACCTAAATTAGTAATAATACCATTGTATTGTAAACTGAATTTCTTAGCATAAAATGCTGATAAAAGTGGGATCTCTACTCTTGACCAAGTGTAATTTTGTTGTAAATTGAATTGTGTGCTCTTCCCGCGCCTGGTCAGGTGATATTGTCAGTCGATTTCCCAACGGCTGCACCTCCGCATTTAACACCTCCCAACCCACTGTGCAAGCTGGAGAAGAAGCGGTTCCTCATCCGAAGTAAGCCGCGCATGCGCACAGATTAGCATAGGCAAACAAAAGAACCGCCGGCGAGCATAACCGAATGTGGGTTATTATGAAATCGCAGCCGAATCGATGATGCTGCTCTGGTCGCTCTGGTCGCTCTGTCCATCAATGGCTTCTAATTGGGCCCGCCATCTCATTCCGATCGACCCATCGATTTTTTGGGGGTATAAATTTGCGTGCTCCGTCAGCGATTGGAATTAGTTTGGTCAGCTGTTTGAAACCGATTGTATCCCATTCGCTACTCGAGATGAAACCCTTTGCCTGCATCCTGGTGATCCTTGCCGCCATCCTGTCCGTCGGACAGGCCACCCTGGGCGGTCTCCTTGGCGGCGGCGGCGGCGGCGGTGGCGGCGGCGGCATTGGACAGCTGCTGCAGGGCAAGCTGGGCGGTCTCGGCGGAGGATTGGGCGGCGGACTGGGCGGCGGACTGGGCGGTCTGAGCGGTGGTCTTGGCGGCAAGCTCGGCGGCGGTGGCGGCGGCGGCGGCTACTCCGGTGGCTACTCCAACGGTGGCGGCTACTCAGGCGGCGGTGGATACTCCGGCGGCGGTGGCTACTCCGGCGGTGGCGGATACGCCGCCCCTGCTCCCAGGCCCGTTGAGAAGGTGGTCATCGTGAAGGTCATTAACGAGGGCTACTCCGGCGCTCCATCTGGTGGCTACTCTGGCGGCTACTCCGGCGGCTACTCTGGCGGCTACTCCGGCGCTCAGTCTGGTGGCTACTCTGGTGGCTACACCGGCGGTTACTCCGGTGGCGCTCAGTCCGGCGGCTGGAACAAGGGCTGGTAAACGTTGAGCAAGCCAAAATGGGCCAACTATAAATAGTTCAAACTGCCAAACAGAAAGCCAAGCAGCCTAGGATTTAATTTTTTTTTTTAATATTTTTTAGCGGTATTTGTTTGTTAGAATTTATACAATATACAAGAAAAGAATTTCCATTTTAAATTGCGTGTGACTTGTGTATGGAAGGGGAACCGGTTGACTTTGGCTTCCTGCTCCGACTCTTGAGTCGGTTCTGCCGCTGACCCAATGGCCAAATCGTTGAGGTCATCACCTGCCAATCGTTGTAAGAAGAAGGAAGGTAATGAGACAGGTACTTAGTACACTTTCGACATCTATTTCGGCTTTTCTGCAGCAGTTGCGCAACCAAAAAGCGCATTTTATTGTTTTCCAGCCATCGATCAATCCGTCGCAAAAAAAAAAGCCTGTCAGTCGATCGCACAAAGAGCCAAATTTGATTTTTATGCCGCCCATGAATTAAAATGGAAACGTGCAAAAGCCAAAAGGTTCAACTGGTTCGGTTCTAGAATTGGCCGATCAGACGTCTATAATTTGCATTTTGGGCCACGATAGGCCGCTTTAAGTTTTCAGAAAATATTCATTCTTATCTCTGTTCTGCAGGGTTAATTTCTGTGAATAAATTTGTACACAAATGGAGTAGACTTATAAATAAAAACGCTTTTTCAGCAAAGTTTTCTCAGGTGATGAGCTTTAAATATTTATGTCTTTTAATTTTTTGCTTTAAGTAAAGTTTGTGCTCCAAAATAGATACTTTTGGGAATAACTATTGGTATTGCCCAAGTATGAACAAAATATTAGGGAAACATAAAGCATGATTTACTCAAAGTACAAAAATAAATATATTTTAAATAAAGTATATACGTAATAATACCAATAATTACAATACTCGTATATACAAAATAGATCAAATATATACTTTTAATATATCAAATAGAATTAACCTAGCAAAGGTATATACATTTCGGTTCCCATTTTTGTTGCGAATTATGTCTGTGACGAAATCAAAAATATATTTCTCGCAATGAGCTGCGTTTTTGAAGTAATGCAAACACATTCCAGCTGACAAAGCTCATCATGGGGTGAGACACCTTCTTTCGAGAGCCGTCAATCGTCTGTGATGGGTTCTGTGCCAACTCATAAGTTGCAGCGGAACAATTGGGCCCAAGTCTCCGATTGATTGATTGATTTGCGGTGACCCGATTTCCAAGACAGCACGAATTATGTGCAACCGCACGGTAGCTGGTAGCTCGGTAGCCAAAAAGACAAACACGCAGCTGCCTCGATCTCCATTTCCATTTCCATTCCCATCGCACTGCTCCACCTGCAGTCTGCAGTCTGCAGTGCCAATTTCTATACCGATCCCAATAGCAATTCCATCTGTATCGCCATCGCCATTCTGAATAATGGGCAGTCGTAAAGAACCGATCGCCAGCTCAATCCCTGACTCCTATATCTTATGGCATCCATCCAACCGCCGGCAGGCGAACTCAATTAAGTACTTTGAGGTTGTTACATAAAAATGGAGAGCCATTAGATTGGCGATCATGATGCGGTATCAGCTACTGGGCTACACTGGACTGCACAATAAAAGTACACCTTGATGTGAAATTTGCAACATTTTCACTGATATTTTTATCTATAGATCAATGATGGTGTGAAAGCATACAAATATGTACTAATTATCTTATCAAAACGACTTCCTCAGGAAAGTAGTTCCTGTAAACACTTGTACACAACCTGTTCTGAAAAATGTATGTTTGGGTGTGCCCGGAATTTTCCTTACCCTGATTCATAAACTGTTCATATTCATTTTCCCGAGGGAATGGAGCATTTGTTGCGCAGTGCTTCCTATATCGTCAAGTCCATCAGGTGCTCCATTTGGAGGCGTTCACTGGGCGCAGAACAGCCGACCTACGTGGGCCCACAAAGCGTACGAAACCGAAAGTTGATGTCGGCATAATGAGGCCGCAGTACTGAGGTGAGTTGAGCCACCACCTGCGCCACTCTGGCCCACTCCGAACCACTCGGAGCCACCCCGAAGCGCCCAACCACTGGCCATTGTAAGCTGGTCGCTGGCAGTTTTGGCAATTACATCTGATTATACGAGGCAGCGGCTGTGGCGAAGCTGTGGTGGCTCGGTGGCTCAGAATCTTGGATGGGTATAAATAGTCGAGAGTGGCTGCAGTGGGGCATTAGTTAGTGCACGGCAGCTGAGGAGATGCAATCCACGATGACAACGCGACGACTTGGCCTTCTCGGTCTGCTGGTGGTGCTGGGCTGTATAGTCGCCCAGGGTAAACCACATGGCTGGAGCAGCGGTGGCGGCAGTGGTGGTGGAGGCTGGTCCTCGGGCGGATCGGGTGGCAGCAAGGTCATTATCAGCGCCTGGCCCTCCAGCGGTGGAGGAGGTTGGTCCTCCGGTGGCGGATCTGGAGGCTGGAAGAGCGGCGGCGGCGGTGGCGGCGGCTGGTCATCTGGTGGATCTGGAGGAGGTGGTGGCTGGAAGAGCGGCGGCTCAGGAGGTTGGCCATCCGGAGGCGGCTCAGGTGGCTGGTCCTCAGGCGGATCCTCCGGCTGGCCAAGTGCCGGCAGTTCCGGCTGGAAGTCAGGCGGCAGCTCGGGATTATCCAGTGCCCTGTCCAGTCTCTCCAGTTGGAAATCCCAAGCTTTGGGTAGCTTGAGCAGCGGTTGGAAGAGCGGCGGCGGCGGAGGAGGTGGCTGGTCATCTGGTGGCTCCTCAGGCGGCGGCTGGAAGAGCGGCGGTGGATCTGGTGGTTGGTCCTCCGGAGGGTCCTCCGCCTGGCCCAGCAAGATCAGCAGCGGCTGGTCCTCCGGTGGAGGTGGAGGTGGAGGTGGTTGGTCCTCCGGAGGAGGTGGAGGCGGCGGCTGGAGCTGGTAAACAGATCCTGGCAACAACCCATCCGAGGAAAATCGGCGACGAGGCGACACCACTATCCACTGCTCAACATGTACATAATAATTCTCTGTTCTAAAAATAATCCAATTTTTTTTTGTTTTTTTCTATCTAACTTTGTGAATAAATCTTACAAGAATGTAATTTTGACCCTTGTGTTTTTTTTTAATTTGTGAGTGAATTTTTTTAATTTAAAACTAACTAAAAGTTAGTTTAAAAAATCAAGGGAATATATATAATAAATATATTTGAGTTTATCAAAATTGTTCAGTGGAGCAAATGATTTTTCGAATTTATTGCCATTACCGCCAATTTTGTTGCAATTCAGAGTTTAAAGTTTTAAAATATGGTTTGCCTCTCTAAATTAACGATTTATACTCGTATTTCTTTTGAGAATGGAATAAAAATTGTGGTACATATTATAATGTTTTAAATAATATTTACTTCCCCGATAATTTAATTAATCGCATTTAAAAACCAAAATAATTACAAAATGCATAAACAAGATTTATTAGTATAAAAAACATTAAAAGCAGGAAAATTGGGGCTCTAGATAGAGTAAAAGAGGAGATTCGAGGGATTGTATCTATCTCTATGCCATGGAACACAAGTCAGCATCAGCCGGTGGATTAGCTCCTCTTGGTGGCTTGATTACCAGCCACCGCCGTGCTGTTTGCCACCTCCACCGCCGCCACCACCGTAGAGTCCACCACCACCTCCTCCGCCGCCTCCGTGCTTGTTGCCTCCATTTCCGCCCTGCCAGGACACGGAACTGCCGCGATTGCCGGCCAAGGACTTGCTTCCGTGGCCGCCGCCTCCTTGGCCGCCGCCGTAACCTCCTTGTCCTCCGTGGCCACCTGAAATTAGTATACAGGTTTGGACACAACCATCTTGCATCGAATAAATTATTACCTTTATTGCCACCTCCGAAGCCTCCTTGTCCACCACCTCCATAGCCGCCTCCTCCGTTCTTCTGCCCACCTCCATGTCCACCTAAAGGAAATTGAATGTAAATATTATAGACTCATAAATCTTGAGCTAAACCTAAGCCTTGACCTCACTAAATTGTAACCGAATCACCAATATTATCTTAATGTTTTGAGAAAACATTCGAATGCAGATGTCCAATTACACATGCATAAAACTTGTTTGCAAATTGGGATTATAAGAACCAAATTAGTGTATTATAATGGAAACCATTGAAATCATTTCATTATAATATTTCAAAAAGGTAGAAAAATTACAAAAAAAATATGAACTACCTCAAACTAAAGCAAATACTTAATTTAACTTTAAGCGAATGCCCAAAAATATATATTCACTTACCTTGGCTACCGCCGCCGTAGCCGCCCTGGCCGCCGCCTCCATGGCCGCCACCTCCATGGCCACCTCCTCCGTTCTTCTGATAGCCGCCCTGACCACCACCGCCTCCGCCACCACCGCCGTAGCCACCCTGGCCACCACCACCGCCGCCGTAGCCACCACCACCGCCTCCACCGCCCAGCAAACCGGCAGAGGCCAAGGCGATCAGCAGGCAACACACGAAAACAAGGATCACAGCGTGACGCATCCTTAGCACTGTTAAGTCACTCAAAAAAATAGATATATAAAAAAAAGGTTGTTGGACCGACTTAGAACCGCTGTGCAATCGCTGCTTGAGGCTCAATACCACTGATGAACTAACCCAGAATTGAGGCACCTTTTTATAGCTCCAAAAGGCGGAAACATCGGCTGAGTCAGCAGCCTGCCATCCCTCCAACTGCAAGTTGGAGCTCCCAAAGGAAGGTTGAGAACTGCACTTCATGTTGGCACAATGCGGCAAGCGGCAAGCGGCTGGCTTCACCAGCAACTTGTCTGGTGCAAAAAAGTCTCAAGTACGTCGGCGCACTCGGCGGATACGCAATGTGCGCCGTCTGGGAACATCGCGTATACGCCACCGCACCACTTGCAAACTGCTGAGCCATGGCTGCATCATTAATTGCCAGCGCACATAGCACATTTGGCCACGAAACGCCTCGCAATTTGTCTTACAAGCTCACTATATCCATGCGAAATTCTAAGCATATTTGACTTCAATTCGTTGTTGAATTTTCTTAATTATTATTTTTATTCTTGCCGCTTGGCAGGGTTAAGTAAAGTTCGGAATTTATCCACACCGTGGGGTGTGGGAATCTGTGGCTATATTGTTACCTACTATTTAAGCGACTGATATTTAATATATACCAGCTTTGCAACCGCATTTTATTTGTTTATATTACCTAATGCAAATATATTGAAATATAGTGTTGTATAAATTGAGATTGCAACTTTAATGCTTGATACGTTGTTAATTGCTTTTGGTACTTGCTTACTAGGTAACATTTTTGTTTATGAATATTTAACTTGATATTTGGATTTTTCATGTCGTACCTATATTTAACGCTATTGCCGTGCAATGTTTGCGGCGATTAATCTTCATTTACACAGCAGCCGCAAGTGAATCGCCAAATGGAGGAGACACGACGCCGCAGACACTGGTTCAATGTCAATTGGCGTGCAAACATGGCTGGTTGCATACGCTCAAGTGCATCACTTACCATAAATTTCATGAACTCCACCGCGAATGTGAACATATAGCTTTTCTTGGCTGCCACCGCGTGCTGCAGATACACGTAAACACATTTGTATAGTTGGCCAAGAAAAGTTGTCTGCACATTGTGGAGCTTTAAGTTGGAAGTAAGCAATGTGTTCATATATCATTCGTTTCAATATTTAAAAAATTCCATATTGGGTCTGAATTATTAAACAAATAAATATAAATTTGGCGACATTTTTTATATTTTTTAAACAAAGTATTATGTCAATAATAGGGATATAAGTCAATAATAAGTCTGGAAAAAGTCGTTTTTATTTATAAAGACAATGATGTTAAATTCCGGCCTTAATTGGTGTATGATAACGTAACCTAATAAAATTTCATAAAGGTTACAAAACCACGAACAGAGAAAAGTTCTCTGTGGCACGGATTTGGGTTTTACAAAATAGATTTAAATCTATGCTGGCTTCTCTTCGTAAAAAAAACAAAGCATAGACATACTTAAATTATTTTATTGGGATTTTGAAACGTAGCCTCAATTTTCATAGGCAAGCTTACTTGAACATATTTTAAGAAGGTCAAATAACACAGAGCTAAGTTTATGTCTTCGTTTAATTAGATGCAAGAAATAAATGTACTGCTTCTCTTTGAAGAAAACCGATGCGCAAAGATACTTGTCGTTAATATTTCCATAAACTTAAAAATGTTACCACAGTGCCTCCACCTCCAGATGATGCTGATCTCCGCTGAACTCCCATCGCATCACCACCTTGGCCACCAAGACGCTGTTCCACAATCATTTGCAAGATGCATTAAATACTAATAACTGCTCAGTATAGTCGTATACTTGTATAGTCGGCTCCCAGAATGTTAATTGCTGACGATCCATAATGCAGAGGCGATTCATCATGGAAATGCTAAATGTATGCCTTTGACTTATTGGTTTATTTAATTGTTACACAAAAAAAATGTACTTAGAGACTATGTTATTAAATTGTGTGGATTGTGAACCAGGTGCGGAGAGAGGGGATCACGATTGGGATTGGAGCTTAGAGTTTGGGTTGGGGCTTGGGCTTCGCCTCCTTCGAGATGGTAACTGCTCGACTCTTTACCACCATCCACTATTGGAGCTGGAACTGGACCATCCATTGCTGTTCCATCCGGAATTGCCGCTGCTCCAGCCAGAGTTTCCACCCCATCCGGAGTTGCTGCCCCATCCGGAGTTACCGCCCCATCCGGAGTTGCCGCCCCATCCTGAGTTGCCGCCCCATCCGGAGTTTCCTCCCCATCCAGAGCCGCCGCCTCCTCCGATCTTTATGACCTTAATGACCTGCGGCTGGGCGACCCAGCCACTGTTCCATCCAGAGCTGCTGCCGCCCCAAGGATTGGATCCCCAGCCCGAGGATCGGACCACTCCTGCCGAAACACAGGCCACCAGTGCGCAGAGTACAATGAACACCTTCATTATGTTGGGTTTGCGTTTTTTCAGCTTTTAGTCCTGACTCGGAAAGTTAATCCTGGCTTGTTGCGCTGTGCGTCTCGAAGTGTAGCACTCGAATGCTGTAACCACTGGATCGCCACTCGCTATTTATCGCAAACTGCGTGGCCCAGACTAATCTGGTCGAGAATCCACAAAATAAATCTCCAGCGGCGGGTGGCTGGGCCAGGCCCGGCCAGGTCGGGTAATTGCAGTTTATTAAACCACTTTGAGCGTCCGATTCTTGACCAGGGTCAACTGGGTCTGCTTTACAAGCAGAAGCCACAACTGGGTAGCCATCAAGCCAAGTCAGCCAAGCATGTGGCAGAGTTGCAAAATTCGTACATAACTCACACGCTTGATGGATCATTTCCTCGCCTCGCTGATGGCGGAAACTGCAGCAGAGCCTGCACTGGGAGAAAAGACTAGATGTTAAGAACAAAAAGGTGCAACTGAAGTATTGCAGTTGTGCTTAGAATTTTATGAACTATATTAATTGCCCTATTTCAAGCTTGCCTTTAATATTAAAGGTTTTATTCAAAATCTTCAAGTAAAATAATTACACGACCTCCTTATGCTGATATTATATAGTATATTTCATTTTAAAAGCATCATGCGCTTATTATTAACCTGATATTTTTTTATAATCGGTAATGTAAGCAATGTTTTCTGCAGTGTAGCTTTAAGCTTAAGCTTAAACCGAAAAGTTGGCGTCAGTTGAGTCATTTGTCAAACTGGCAGCTCAAGCCGCAAACGGAGACACTTGCAGATAGTTTTGAAGACGGAGATGGAGATGCCGATGCAGATGCAGATGCAGATCCCAGGTGAAGGGGCCAAAAAAGAAAAGATTAAAAACCGAACCGAGCACAGTGGGAAGATGAGCTCGAAAGGTAACTGGATCTTGGCGATGGCATTTCCTGATCCTGACAGTCAGGCGAAGGACAAGGGAAAGCCCCCGACAAACGGGGCTACGTGATGGTTGATACGTATATTTAAAATATAACTTGGCCTATAAACAACAAGTTTATGGAGCACAGACTGCCATTGAGCTGGATAGTCAACTTTTCAGCTGTAAAGATGCAATTCCATCTAGGACATCTAGGCCGTTAAGGTGCTCTAGAATTCTATATTTCATAGATTCCCGCGAGAGATGAAATCATCGCTTCCCCGACTACATTCACCAATTAAGGCGGCTGACCTCAGGGGGCTATATAACTCATCTGGACACAAACGCCAACCGGATGACATCCAACTGCAAATTGCAGTTCGCACTGCAATTTTGCCACTGTACCTGGGCGCCACTCGGATAATAGCCAACAAAAAACACGAATAAAACAGCTCCAGTCAACAGTCAACAGTCAACAATCACGAGCTTGTGGCAATGGCGACACCGCGGCCTCTTTTCCACAAGTTATTTATCTTTCGGTTTTCTTCCACGGAGTATTATAATTTACCTAGTAATTTGTGACAATAATATGTTCGTACATTATTACCTTGCTCACGAGTCGAAAATGGGAATCAATACTCTTGGGTTACATGTGTGAGCATTTTTAAAATGGACCCTGTTCTATTAAGCTGATAATATAAGATTATGCCCTCCACACAATGTAAACATTAATGATTAGCATCGTAATGATGCCTCTGTAGTGCTAGAAATTGTAAAGCGATGTAAGGTTTCTTAGCCAATGTCATAAGACTTAACTTTATTGGTTGGTCTATTTATATTTATTTTAGACTGCTTTTGCCTTTTACCATTATCCTTTGTTATCACATATATAGGGTATTCCAAGTTCGTGGGCCTGCTACTTACTTCAAATTTAATTGAATTGTCAACGCTTAGAAGGCAAATAGTGTATTGCTTATCGACCGCAATCGGTTTGAGCAAAAACAAAAAAAAACAAGGCTTATTTCTAGCTTAGGATAAATTATGGGGAGGTGGATTGGGAGGATACCTGCTCATCCTGAGAACCAGGCTCCCGGTTTTCCCGTGCTTGTGCTACTGGGCGCTTCCGTGGTGGTCGTGGGTTCGGGGCACTTGCCGCAGTTCTCCAAGTGGGCCGTTCGCACGGCGGAGGCATGCAAGCCGTACGGTAGGGCGCCGTTGACCTCCAGGAAGTAGTTGCCCTTGATGTTATGCGGCACCTGATAGCCCATGGGCACATCGTCGCCCGGACATCGGAAGTCGCGCATTCTGGATATCGAATTGCAGCGAACGGCCAGGAAGTTACGCTCGTTTCCTGGGTAAATGGTTTCCGCAAAATACTCCCAAGATCGGGCATGGGCACAGGTCACCGAGAAGCAGCCGGCGGGAAGGGGACTCATGCCGCCCGGATAGAAGTCCACATCGCCCACCGGATCCCGTTTGCCCAGCACTCCGGGATTGCTATGGATCACATCGACGAAGCGGGCATCTCCGCGCATCAGACCCGAGAGGACTTCACCCTCGTTGAAGCACGGCTTGGCCGGATCCAAGCCAGTAATCCTGGGTATCGTCTGATTAGTCAGGCGCTGCAGGTGCCGTCCCGCCGATCCCACAATGTGGGCGCCCAGGCTATGGCCAATGAGATGGATGTTCTCCACCGGCACCAGATCGAGCAGCTTCACCAAACCCAAGGCGATGTTCTCGCCAATCTCCTCCGTATTGAAGGCCGACCAGGTGTACAGGGTATCCACGAAACGAGCAGCATCCACCGCCTGTGATTACACATTGTGAAAAAGAATTTTTAAGTAATTTTAATTTTACGCATTTATGTAGCGTAGCTGTGTATTTTTCAATTAAGTATTACGAGCACTTCAAGGCCCGTGTTTTTATATTAGCCTTCATTTGAGTGTACAATGTGAAATAAAATGCAAAACATTTAGATTAAACTCGAAGAGAGTCTAATCTGATCAAAACCTTATCTATAATATAAATATATATATTACAAACTTATTTCCGAGTTACTTGTGTATTGAACGCTTTAAATGGTATATTTTAACCAAATAGTTGCTTTACTTAATCTATTTTGTACTTACCACAAAGTTGACATCCCCACGGCAATTATAGGCCTTGGAGAAGACATCGATGGTATCCGAACCATTCACGGTGGTGGTCCATCCGGTGGCCAGGATGACGACCTTCTTCTTGGCATCGAACAGGGGACTCCTCCACATGGCCTCAGGATTTGTAAGTGGAAAATTTTTCTTTACACACGCCGTTTGCAGCTGGAAGTTCATTTGATTGATATCCGGCGAGTATTTCGACCTGATTTTGTTTGAAGCCAGCGCCTGGGAGCCTGAAAATATTCAATTAGTTTTTAGCTTACATCTTCTATATATATTTTTAGCATATTTTATATTTAATATATAAAATGGCTGAGATAATTGGTAATTTATATACACTCAAATGCAATGCACGAAAAATATGGTGCTTTTTAGAACTCAATACTTTGAATAGTTTGATCTCGCCTAATGTATTTTTCAACCCTTCCTAAGAAATACTTTTTAAACACTTTATTTTTCGATATATTTTTGTTTGTATTCCTTGTTTCGTTGACCTGCAAAAATACTCACAAATCACGTTTATGGAGTTGGAAACGAACTCGAATGGATATCCCGCGATAAGCTGCTTGCTGCCATCGAGGAGTCCTTGGGGTGTGGGCAAAAGACCGGGATCCACTATGCTGGTGCCCACACTTCCGATGGAATCGATCACATCCGGAAGCGTCCACTCAATAGCGTAGTTGGCGGGCACCAGCAGCTGGAGGAGGAGCGCGAGGAGCGGAAGCGTCTTTGGCGGAACTCGTCCCATCCTGGACACAAACTCGACGAGAACTGAGTGCCGGAAGCGAATTGGCAATTGTTTTTATAGCCTCCAGAGGGAGGGGCTCGAGCGACGAACACATTGCCTTATATATATATATGATTCCAGTCAACTGTGACCATATCGATGTGTGTTCCGATCAGATAAGGTGCACTTGTCACTTAATTAGTTTCCATTCCCATTTCGATTCGTCGCCTTCGCCACATCTCGCCGAGAAATCGGCAAATCTGGCTCAAAGCAAACTGCAGTCGCATGTCCCGGCCTCATCTGCATTTATTTTAATTCTAATCGAAAACTAAAGCAAATCAGAAGGCACAAGCACTTGAAGATAACGCCCTGTTTTGCCTGTTATGCAGTCGACGGGGCGTCCAGTCGATCGGTTAACACCCTATTACAGCGATTATCAGCTACGAGACTCGACCTTCCTACACCAAAAACAGATTATGTTTTAATCTCACTAAAGAAATGACAAAACTATTTGAATTCAGAAAAATGTTCCTGATCCCTTCTTCGCCACGTGCAGGGCTTTAACTGATAATGGCATAAACAATCTTTCAGTTTACAAAAATCCTCAGCCGATTGACAATGGCCCGTGCCGTCAGTAGTGTATTACAATATACACTTGAAAAAGTAAAAGGAGAAAGGCTTGTCTAATAATTTAATTGATGTGGACATTTATTTAACAATTTATTTCTACAAATTTGTAGTCAGAAAATATATGAAATGATTTAATTGTGTTATTATTTGGAACAAATCTTATGCCGTCAATCCAATTATTGCTTGTACTGCATTTATACTGAATGAATTTATTATTTAACTACATTCTTATGCACCCCAAAGTATATGTATATGTACTAATTTTCCTAGAATTCCTGGCACTTAATGTTCCAGTGTAAGGTCAACTCTCACGTATATAACATCAAATAGTGCCTCCGGTTACGACAACACGGCCATATTAATGGCCATATTAATGCGGGTACATTGCTCACCACTTATTTCCCATTCCGTATTCCCCGATCTCGACTCCGAATCTCCAAGCCATTGTCATTCCGTCAACGTGCCCTGGACAATTTTAGTGGCCCCCCAACAAAAAGACGTCACAAAAGAATTAACTTAGCGTTGACATCAGCTTTCGGCGATTTCTCACACAAATCACGGAATTCTGAAGTCTCCCGAAGATGGAAGGTGGGGGCTCAACTGGGATTTGTCCTTGAAGTCATCAGGGAAAATCCCTTCGGCATCTATCTGTGAGTGTGTATCTGCCTACCAATTGACAGATAAGTCATGCAGTCGATCTCTATATGAATTGTGAGTTCGCTCGCGTTTAGGAAAAATATGTAGGTGATGTACAAGTTGCAGATTATGTAACATATCTTAAAAATATATCATACAACTTTGCTGCACATTACAATTTTATTGCGTTTCTTTTTAATAACTTAAATTTATATATATTCACACACAAGCTCCACACTTTGCTGTGGAGTTGGTGTAGTTCTGCAGATCGGCATTTTGGCCATAGGGCTCCGCTCGATTGGCGCCCACGTAAAAAAGACCCAGATCCGTGTAGCTGGCGGCATAGCCCATCACAATACTCGTGTCCTGGCAATAGTTTCCGAGCAGGAGTTCAGAATAGCGTTTACAGCGCTTGGCCAGAAAGTCTTTCTCATTCGACGGATACACCGTTTCCGTCCAGTAATCCACAGCTCTCTGGTGCGAACAGCTAATCGCGTCGAGGTTCTCACAACCCGACTTGAAGGGAATCCGTCCCTGGACAAAGAAGTCCGCATCTCCGGCCCGCTTCGATGTGCCCAGTATGCCGGTATTCGTGTGGATAATGTCCACAAATCGAGCGTCGCCACTCCGCAGACCCTCCAGATCGTTGCCGTCATAAAAACATGGATTAGCTGGATCCAGTCCGGTGATTCGTTGCAGGATTTTTCCCCCAGACATTTGCCGATAGTTTCTGCCCGTTGAGCCGGCTATCTGGGCGCCCAAGCTGTGACCCACCAAATGGAACTGTTTGCTCACATAGCTTGTATTCAGCTGGAGGAGCGACTTGGCCAGATAAGCTCCAATAGCCTCTGTGTTCAGGGCCGACCATGTGTACAGGGTGTCTATAAAGTTAGCAGCATCTAGAACCTAAAAAGAGGTGTATTTGTAATGACTAGAAAGGGATATACTCGAGGTAATTAGGCCAACTGAGTGATTGCATCTTAAAGATAAATATGTCTCTTTGTTTGGTTTTTATTTGTATCTCTCACCAAAATGTTGGTATCATTGCGACAATGATAGGCTTTGGTCACGGGGCCACTATTAGAGCTGTTAATGCTCGTTTTCCAGCCGGTGATGAACAAGACAGTGGGTCGATCCTGGTTAAATCCGGTAGTATTCCATAAGCGCTCCGCTTGCGTCAGTGGAATACTGGTATTCTGACAACCATTAGGCGATTGAAGCAGAAAACTCATGCGCGACATATCCGGTATTAGTTTGGACCTCAGCACTCCGAGATCCACGATGGTGCTGCATATATAGTTCAAGGTGGAGAAGGCCAAGTCCAGGGGCAGACCAATAGCGAACTGCTTCAGCTGATCCTGCAGCTGATTGAGAAGCTGGTCCTGATACGAACTCGCTTTCTGTCGCAAGCTAAGACTGTTAGAATCATCAAATCTCGTCACTGTGTTCTCGGCTTTATTTTTCAAAGAACTCAAGCTTTCAGTTGCCTTATTCCTTAAGATATCTGCATCCTGAGAGCTGGAGCCCTTAAAGATGTCACTTAGTTCATGTTCATTTTGAGGCACGGTTCGATTTAAGTTATCAGACTTCAAACTATCTGCAATTGAAGAAGAGCTTGTTATCAGGGAATCAGTCCTGATGGACTGAGAAAATTCAGCAAGCACCACCACCAGCAGCACTAGGATCGAAGAAGACATGGTAATCCGAAAGATACTGTAAAAACACCTACACATGGCTGGCCTTTTATACAAAGGCCAAGTGACATGCAGATATATACATATATATTTATACATATCTTTCCTTTCAGTCATTACTAGCAAAATTTATCACTCCCCAAGCTAAAAATGTTTAATTCTAAGGCACGAAATCACGATGACACGAAATCACCACTTTCCACGTGTCCGAGCCTCACGAACTACTTGGTCTTGCAAAATCCAGGTAGCAATCGAAAAAATTTCCTCGCACATATTTTGCGTTAGGAAATGTTGCGTTGGCTGCCAAAAAGCGAGCCACCTAATAACCACCTTCCTCCGCTCCCAATTACTCACCGCCCCCACAATCAACAAAAAACAAAAAACACTAAATGAAAACAAGAGGTAGTCGAGTGCCTCGACTAATAGGTACCCATTGCTCAGAGATAAGAAGTCTGGGGAAGACCGTCAGACGGACAGGCAAGCGGATAGGAATATATCTAAATATCCCTAGTTGCAAATGCTGTCATCTAACTGTGACATGCCTCTCAACGAGTACAGTATACCCTTCTATTCACAGACCAACGGGCATACAAATTAAACACAAGACAAGCAGCGCTTTTACATTGGTAATTTGTGTGCCCCACTGCTGGTGTTGCTGCTGATGATCGTTGATGTTCGTTGATGTTCGTTGATGTTGCCGGCACGCAACCGCCGGCAACTACCAACTATTAGCCAGTAACCAGGGCGAGTGCTTCCAGTTGGCCATTTGGATGGTGGACTCACAGATTAATACTGCCCAATTATTCACACTGGCCGACTTTGAAGAAATGCCTGGCTTACGCCAAAAGAAAACTCACTATAAACGGCATATACTCGTACTATATATTACTTGTTACAAATATTCCACTTAACTTAGAGCCAATTATTTAATAACTCATTTAATAAGAATTGTAAGTAAGCGGTTTAGCTTTCAAAATATAATAATATTACACGATTTGTTCAGCCTATATTTTCAGATTATTTTTAGTAAAGTTCTGTTGACAATATAAGAACTAACTACTGATTTATTTATTACTATCTTTGGAATAAGAGCACCCGAACGTCGTTAGTAAGCTATCTTCTTGGTTTTTGGAAATTTATTCGCACATATCGCGCTGAATTGACGGCAACCACAATCGACAAATGTTTATATGTACATCGCTAGCGGTTTTGTTTCGCTTTTCCACCTTTTGCAATCTTCCAGACCACTCGTGCTTCATATATGGAGTAGATAGTACCCATATCTGGTTGGGAATGGGAATGGGAATATGGGTGAGTGTGTCGTGTGTCAGACGCATGGAGCTGTGGATTTTTTGGAAAATACTGGCGATCGAGCGCGGACTTCTCGCTCTGCTGGCTTCTTGTGCTTTTAATTGCAGTCGAGAGACTCATGAAATCGAAATCAATTCAGATTGCTCTATATCCATTACTCTATAATTTTGAGTCAGCTTGAGATATAGTTTTATGTAAGACTCGCTCACGCTAAATTGATAGATAAGTATATAAACTAAGAATTATAAACTATAAGCAGAAGCTGTTCTTAGACGAAATCAGATGTTTTTTCTTCGCAACTTCGCCTATTTGGGAATTGAACTTAAAAAGTACCCACGCAAACAGTTTCCCAATGAGTTAATTGCACTTTTTGGCCACTTGCACAATGGACACATCTCACTGCATTGTTTGGGCCGATAAATATACACCTTGAACGTACGAGTACATATATGTGAATGACTCTTTATATTTGCCATTCTACTTCCACTATTTGCTGTTGATAAACCCAATTAGTTGGTCTGTGCCAAAAATTTGGCGAGCTTCCGCCTCGAGTGCAAACAGGCGGAGGGTTAAGGCCCACAGGGATGCCACAGGTTACGCAATGGGCCAAATACCGAGAACGGCCTAATGGCCAAAAAGCCAAAAAATAATTGAGAAGACCAAAATTATTACGTATACGCACCATTGCAACAGGCTTTTCAATGGCCCCGCCACTTAGACGTCGACGTAATGCGGAGTAAGTGCAGCAAATTATCAGCTCCAGTCGAACGAGCGGCCAGCAGGCAGATGTCCGTTGCAACATTTTTTTTTTTCTGTGTTTTTCGCTTTTCGCCAAGGAAAACAAAAGACTGTGTGTAAAAGTCGGCGGAAAATGCAGGAAAATGCGGCATGTATTTGCGGTCGAATGTGAGTGCTTCGAGCATATAAAATCCAATGCAGTTGGTAGCAGTAAATTAGTTGACTCGAAACATTTCGCCGCGTCGGTTAAATCACTTCTACAATATCCAACCATGTTCACCTATCGCCTGAAACTGATGATCCTGCTGGGTCAACTGCTGCTGGGCATCCAGAGTTATCCTTTGGGCGATGATGTGTCCTCCAATGCAGTGGTCCATTCGGCGGGTCTCTTGGGTCACTATGCCGGCGGACTGACTGGCGGCGAGGCCTTGTCCAAGCTGGACTTCAGCACATCCTCGCATGAATTTGGCGCCTCCGGGGAGGCGGATCACTTGGGCTCCCTGGGCGACCACCTGGGCGAGGAGGGCTTCCCGGCGGACTACGGCAGCAGCGATGCCGGCGAGGAGTACGCAGAGGCCAGCGAGGTGCACTCCCACTACGAGGACCACAAGGCTGTGCCCGGCATCGATCATGGCAAGGGCGCCTTCAGCTACAGCACCCTGTACGAGTTCAAGGATCGGGATGAGCACGAACTGCACCACATTCAGCACCAGGCACTCGAACAGCAGGTGGAGCACCAGGCGGAGCACGACCACCAGCTGGCGGAGCACCAACAGCTGGAGCATCTCTACTAAGACTGTGATAGTCGCACCCAAGACCTAGCAATATGCTCAAAGATTCTCTTATTCTAAAACTGTTTTTTTTTTTTTGCGATTACTAAAATAAATCTAAGCTAAAGTGAATTGAAAGCCACTTTTGGTGGCAAGCCCTATAACAAAACAGGGAAAAGTATCTAAAAACATTTAATTAAATGAAAATGATATCCTTGATATATGTAAACTATGTAATTAGTATTCTGCATATTTAAGCAAATAAAAATAAAAAAAAAAACAAGACAACAGGGTTCCCGACATTTTTCAATTTTTTTGAACTTCCACAAAATCATAACATTAAAAAAATGACAAAAAATTAAAAAAAAAAGAATTTCTAAATTTGAATGCAGATTTTTAGATAATTGCGCCAGAAACATTTAGAGGTATGCCACTTCAAAATCCGATTAGGATAAGTTGAGTTATGGAGTAACTACGAGTAACTGGTATAAAAATGTGTTTTTTGCACAAATATAAATTATCTCCAAATGTAGGCCGCACAAAACCATATATTTTATAGCAATTTTATTGTATAATAAATTGAAAACAAAAAAAAACCCTAAGCAATAAAAGTAATAAGACCGCTGAAAAGCAGTTATTTATGATAGTTTGTCAATCGCTTTGCGATGAACCCATTTAGCGACCGTGGGAGTGGACAACTTGATGCTGGGGCAATTTGAGTTGCGAAAAGTCCACATTATCATTGACCACGATGCGGGGTTCGTGAACTGAAGGTATTGAAGGTATTGAAGGTATCGCAGGTATGGATGCAATCGATGGAATCACTGAATGCGGCAGGTGTGAAGCCATCAAGGTGTCCACATAGAAATGCGGCCAGGGATTTCCCAGTGGCGAGGAGTACGAGCTGGGTACCAGCAGCAGATGAGGCTGTTCCGTATCCGGAGCCAGTTGAAGAACGCCCGAGCTAATGTGTATGGGTGGTCCATAGGCTGTCGGTATAATAAAACCACAAATCAGTGACTTACTTCAAATAGCATTACTCATACGCACCGTGTCCGGACGTCTGCTCTTTCTCCACCGCATGGCCACGTACTAAAGCCGCAAAAACCACAGGCACAATAAGCAATTTTACATTAAGCACTTGCATTTTGTTTGGCCACTTTTTCAAGGGGCTCGCAGCTTTTATAGTCGCCGGCGAACGGATGTTCTTGGTCTTGGATGAACGCCCATCGGTGACGATTTTGGATGGCTGCACCTCAAATCGCATGACACTTGCTCGATAAAGATCGCGGAATCTATTACAATTTTCCATCGATACTTTGACGTAATCTGATCAATTATCCAATTAATATAAAATACTAGTATAAAACGATTTCATCCATTTTTGTTTATATGTAGGGTTGCATTCATTTTGATGTAAGCCTAAAAGATTCTATAAAATTTGTTCTATATATGTACCCTATCTTTAAATATGTATTTGTATACCTTCCTTACATTATATGTGTACGCCACGAGTATAAGCTATATTTTCATTAGAAAAAAACCCTAAGCTCTTATTATAATCAAATGCAAATTAGAACCCTAAGAACCAGAATCTCCAGACACCGCTCGGTCTTAGCCTTGTCCTCAGGGCCTCGCCGCGATCTCTTCAGATCCGGAATTGGAATATGAATCGCAACCGATTCGTTGGGAGTTAGCAACTGGGTGTTAATTAGGCTTAGAATCAATAACACAATGAACCCTAAAAAACGCCGAAAAATATAAATACATATGTATGGTGTATACTAGTAGACAGACGAATTTGTCTGAGTTATTGGCGATTACATAAGAATCTAAAGATATGGGGTATATTGATTTATTTTATGTACACAGCGATCGAACAAAAAAATACAGTTATTCGTTTTATAACTAGAAAAAAAATAGTTGAGTACGGTTAGGTTAGGATAGATTTTTGGGTCCTTGAGTGGCTTAACTCAATGGCTACATAGCCTAGCAGCCGACCAGCTTCTCAAAGATGCCGCCGCGCTTCCAGCCGCCATTGAATCCACCAGAGAATCCACCATTGGAACCGCCATTGTAGCCACCGTTGTAGCCACCGTTGTATCCACCGTTGTAGCCACCGCTGTATCCACCAGCGGAGGAGGAGGCACTGGAGTAGCTGGACTCCACGGCAGGTGGTCCGTACACCTGGGCGGGTGCACGGTCCTCATCGACGATCAGCTTGATGGTCTTCACCACCTGTTGGCTCTGTGCCTGTGGGGCGTAGGATACGGGAGCGGGGGCGTAGCTGATGGGAGCTGGAGCTGGGGCTGAGTAACGCACCACTGGAGCTGGAGCAGGAGCGGAGTAGGTCACAGCGGGAGCTGGAGCGGAGTAGGTCACTGCGGGAGCGGGAGCGGAGTAGGTAACAGCCGGAGCAGCCTGTACACGCACCACTGGAGCGGGAGCGGAGTAGGTCACTGGAGCAGGAGCAGGAGCGGAGTAGGTCACTGGAGCAGGAGCAGGAGCGGAGTAGGTCACAGCTGGGGCTGCCTGAACGCGCACCACGGGAGCTGGAGCAGAGTAGGTCACTGCTGGGGCAGGAGCAGGAGCAGAGTAGGTCACAGCTGGAGCTGGAGCGGAGTAGGTCACAGCGGGAGCTGGGGCAGAGTAGGTAACAGCGGGAGCAGGAGCGGAGTAGGTAACAGCCGGAGCAGGAGCAGAGTAGCTTACAGCTGGAGCTGGAGCGGAGTAGGAGCTGGCGCTGGCGCTGGAAGAGGCACTGGACGAGTATCCGCCATAGTTGCCACCATAGCCGGCCGAGCGTCCATAAGAGTAAGAGGGCTGCTCCACCACCTTGATGACCTTGATGACCTGCTCGCCGCCACCGTAACCACCGCCATAACCACCTCCATAGCCACCTCCATAGCTGCTGCTGCTGGCGGAAGAGGCCGAGGAGCTACCGTATCCGGAATTGTACACTGGGCGGCTGGGCTGGCTGTAGTATCCCTGATTGTAGCCGCCGGAGTATCCACCGCTGCCATAACCGCCTCCATAGCCACCACTGCCGGTGGAGTAGCCACCGCCGCCGGAGCTGCCGCCACCCAGACCGCCGCCAATGGCCTTCAGCAGGGCCAACTTGGCGCCCAGCAGGGCGTCGGAGGGAACTGGGGCCGAAAGGGCCAAAAGGGCCAGCGAAACGCAAACGTACAGCTTCATGGTGATACTGGTGGTGCTAGTGGTGCTACTGATGCTGCCGGCAACCTGAACGAAACTCAACTGATGTCCCAAATCGAGGCGAGGCACTAATTTATAGCCGGCCAACAGCCGTGTGCGTTTGTGTGGTTCTAAACTATGCTCCCCCCATTCAACGAGATGAGATGCCCCCAACACAGATGTTTGCTTAATTCATAAATGGTTACTTATGGGCCAAAGAGACGAGACAAGCCAATACAACCCAGTCGAAATGTATTCCAAATCTGGGCGGGGCCCTGAGCCACTGGCTGTCTGTCCATATGTCACCTCAACTACTTAACCATCAAGTGAGATATTTTCTCGCATCTACCGGCACGGCACAAAATAGTTAAATAAATCCGCGGCCCAAGAGCGTTACGGATTCGCAAGAAGCTCGGGTAATTCCCCAATTAGCACTGAGAGAAATATTTCGATCTGCAAATGTGATGTGATCTGAAACGCAGCAATAACGCAGCTATAATATTTATCAACACAAATCGAATTACATTAAGTGAATGAAATCAACGTAGTGAGTAGTGCAAAATATTATTTATCTGTGACATGCGAGCTAAAGAATGTCTACAAATGGTGGGGAAATTCTACCGGGCAATTCAATGCGAGCTGCATATTAATTGTCTGCTTCGAATCAAGCTGATTTGAGAGAGTAAAAAGTATCTTATTGTATATCAGTCATATTTCAATTCATATGAAGAAATTCATAAGAAATATAACTATGTGTAATACATTAGGTTATTTAATCAACAGTGGTAAAGCGAAAAAAGAAGTTAAATAATGAAACTTTTTTTCTAATTGAAAATGCACCCCAAATTTGTCGCAGTGCACGCTGCCACATGTGCGTGGCCAGTGTATTGGCATTGTCACTCATTCAGCCTCCGAAATCTTATGCATGATTCCACGTAGTCAAGGGGCTCAGCGGGTTGGAGCCTCGCCAATATCTAAATAACCAAATAGCCAAAAATCCGAAACTCCAAGTAACCCAAGCACGCCCAGAAATCTTCGCTCATCTCGGATTTCGAAAACCGAAAACCTGTCCACGTCCACGTTGTCTGACGTATTGTCTCCCATCTTAGATCAAATATTACATATATGTAAATGTCGCTTTTGGAACCCTTTGTATTTTGCTATTGATCTGGACGGCTATGCAAATTGGGTCCCCAAAAAAATGAAGAAGAACCCTCCAAATATGTATGTTTGCTCCATCTGGCGAAATTTTCTGTTCCCATAATTCGACGACTGGTTTTTTTTTCACGTAGCACGAGAGTATCGTAAAATACATTTTATGGAGCGATGCGTGGAATTTTAAGCAGTTTTGCAGCGTAAGCAACTAGTTCTTAGGCTTATACTTTCTGTTTTTTCTACAAAAGCTGCAGACTATTACAATGAGTTTTAAAAATACAAAGATTCTCTATGATTTCTATGCTATATTTAATACAATTTTAAGACAGTTTCTTAGCCTATTTGGCTGTATTAAATGAATTACTTGTGTATATAGGCACTTATTTATACAAGCTTAACATTGACTAAGATGAGTATTAACCTTTTCCAAAAGATTTATGTGTTCAGGCACTTGCTGTTTTTCTATTTACTTTTTCATCTTTAATTGTCTGAGCATTGCAAATATTAAATCATAGCCAATTTACACATTTCCATTTACAGAGTGTGTACTTTTTTTCTACGGGCTATTGTGGTTTCAGTGGTTCGGTGGTTCGGTGGTCCGGTGGTTCGGCGGTTCGGTGGTGCTCAAGTGGTTGAAGGGGCTGCGACATATGTGGCTAGAGTTGGGTATGGAAATGAAGATGGAGCTGGCCAACTCAACCAATTTGCACCCATGGGCCGTACAGCATTCTGGGCCAAACATTATACTTTTTTGGGCTTGGCTCTTGTGACTTTGACTTTGGCTTTGCTTTTGGTTTTTGGCACTTGATTACCATTAACAGTTTTCTTGGGCTCACGATCTGCAGTTCGATGAGCTAAGAGGAGTTTTGGGGGACGAAAAGGGCTTGAGCCGGCTAACTGAGTGCGTAAACAGCACTCAACTCTCGATTTCATTCAGAGGTCCAAAGCGAAGGTCACTAGGGTTGGGTGGGCCTATATTTTTTTTTTGGGTGGTGGCTCTTCGAATGGGTGCGAAATATTATTTTGTAATTGTCCAGCAGTCGATTGCAAAAGCAAAAAGTCACACAGCATATCTATGCATAAAATCAGGTATAAAATATAGAACTGAGAGTGTTAAGTTTAGTAGCTTTTTATTTAGCACACTTTTGGGCAGATAAATTCGTTGATTGTATTGTATTTGTTCAAGATGTGCTTTATTGTTTTTATGAGTAAAAAAGGAACTATAATATTTATAAATATTTATAACACAAAACCTTTTAGCTGTGTTCATATGTCTATTAAAGCACTGCTATACTTACACAATTCTATAATTAAAACTTTTACTCTTGGTGAGCTTAAAAGCAAACACTCACTTCGTTTATACATTTTATTAGAAATCGTTAACTTTTAATTACAAATCGTTGTTTAAATTATCAAAAAAAAAATGTCACCTGAAAATTTGGCTCCGTCGTTCTCTAGCAGAGTCCTCCAGCCAAACCCAGTGGTGGTGGTGGTGCACCGAATCCCAGTCCAAAGCCACCGCCTGCGCCATAGCCGGCTCCAAATCCGTAGGAGGCGGGCAGGACGGCACCACCGCCAAAGGAGCCTCCATAGCCGCCCAATCCTCCGCCCAGACCGCCTCCAAATCCGTTCACATAGCCGGCTCCACCGGCCAGGACAGGAGTGGCAACCGGCGTGGACACTGAAGTGACCACCGGTGTAACCACGGCGGAGGTGGATATGGCTGGAGCAGCGCCGACAAAGCCGCTGGAGTAGCCACCGCCATAGCCGCCAGTATAACCGCCGCCATATCCTCCACCATAGCCTCCTCCGATTCCACCTCCTGGCACCACCGACACCTTGATCACCTTCACCACGTTCTCGGGAGCGTAGCCATATCCAGCGCCATATCCTGATCCATAGCCAGATCCATATCCGTAGCCAGAACCATAACCGCCGCCATATCCATATCCATTTCCGTAGCCAGACGTGGTGGCTCCGCCCAGCAGAAGATTAAGCTTGCCAAAGGTGGCCTCGCCCGGCGTAGCCAGGGAAACCATCACAACTATGACCGCCGCCAATCCCAGGTAGAACTTCATGGTGATGTAATGTGTGTATCTTCGATTCGGTGTTCCTGCTAATCCACAAAATCCACTCTTGACTTTGCCGCGTCGACTGATGAACTCTGGTGACCATACCATCGACTTTATACCTAGCCAAGTCGGATTGCTCGACAATAGTGCGCGATTGTTCTGTACTGAAACCCGCAATGTGTGAAATTACTCAATGGGTTTTGGAGGGCCCCCTGTTCCGATGGCAGGTGAACTAGTGTCACAAATATTTGTGTCAAAGTCAGATTTTTCACTCTTTGCGGTCTTTGCGGTTCCGCAGAAGGTTTGCGTTTAGCTAGAATCCAAGAATATAACGCAATTTTTGGGCAAACATGCAGCTTCAAGGGAATTAGCACTTTCATTTTCGTTCCGGGGATCATGCAAGCGGATCTGTTGCGGAAATACAATCAGATTTTGTCATTAGTTGTGGGAACAAGTGAATTACCGCCAAAGCCGGAAACGAAGCTTAAATGAATGTAAAAATGTAAGCATAGTTCAGGTGCATTCGACTGGTTTCGGGAAATAAGAATGCTCTCTAAACTAAAGGGTCCGATTCTTAAAAGACCTTACAAGTCGCCAAGGCGTGGGCATCAGCGAGGCCATAATTAAATTGTCAGCAACTGAAGTACGATCGCTTCGAAATTAGGGCAAAATTCTCGGTTATCATCATAGAGTGTTCGAGTACGACAACGGCAGTAGCCAAAACACAATCGCCCAAATGAGCATGCGGAGGCAGACCAGTCCTCTGTGGAATCTTCGCCAGAAATGCGGCGGCAGCTGCACCAGTGACGATGAGCTGCCAGAGGTCAAGATAATCACCCAACCGATCAACGGGCTGCACTACATCCGGAGTCGACTGAGACCACCGAGATCAAAGAAGAGCATTTACTACAGCACGGATTGGGATAAGTCCGCGCTGGTCAGCAATTTCCAGAAAAGAGGATGGCTGCAGGTGCCCTCCTTCAATGGAGAATGGAACTTCTACTGGGCGTGCACCCAGAATTGTCGCTATATCTTCGGCATCGATCATCCATATCGCATGCGATCCGATCAGTAAGTAGGGGTTGGCAACTATATGTCTAACCATCTAAGATCTCACCGCAGAGTCATTAACCACTTCCCGAACTCCATCGAGCTGTCTCGCAAGGATCTGCTGATCAAGAACATCAAGCGGTATCGCAAGGATCTGGAGCGACGTGGCGATCCGTTGGCGCAATGTCATCCGCCGGATACGAAGCTGGGCATAGGCGGTACCAGGTACAAGCACCTGGATATCATACCCATGACCTTTGTCCTGCCCTCCGATTACCAGATGTTCGTCGAGGTCTTCCATCGCAATCCGGCCAGCACGTGGATAGTGAAGCCATGCAGCAAGTCCCAGGGCGTGGGTATCTATCTGGTCAACAAGCTGTCCAAGCTGAAGAAATTCGCCTACGATGCCCGCACCTTCTATCCGCAAATCAATCGGGACACCTGCGTCATTTCCAAGTACATCGACAATCCACTGCTCATCGGCGGCAAGAAGTTCGACCTGCGGCTCTTCGTCCTGGTGACCACGTTCAATCCGCTCAAGGCGTATCTCTATAAGGAGGGTTTCTGCCGTTTCTGCACTGAGAAGTACGACGAAACTGAGATTGATAACGTTTTCATGCACTTGACGAACGTCAGCATCCAGAAAACGAACGTAAGTAGCCACTTAAGTACATGAGTTCATAGTTCAAGTTCATTGATAAAATACATAAATAACACGTATACGCCGTGTGTGTTTGATTAAAAATTGTTTATAAACGTTCTATTTTTTTGAATACCCAGCAAGAGTACAATTCCATCCATGGTGGCAAATGGCCACTCCAGA